AAATTAAATTGAGTTTTGAAGTGTCGTTTATTGAATTCTTACTCACTGGTTTTAAAAGATAATTAATTAGTTCATTTACCTAAGTATCCTAATTCTGATCCTGAAGGGACATTATTATTTTGATTACTTATAAATTTTTACTTGTACCAGCCTTGTACTTATCAGTTTCAATCTCGTATTGATTAATAAATTGGAGTTTGTAATAGAATATTCCCAACTTTTAAAACCATAATTTAAAAATACAGATTCAAATGATTAGACAAAAACTATGTTAACCGATAAAGAGAATCTATAGGCAACTTCCTTGGGTGCACAGAGACAGTTATTTATTGATGTATATTTCATAAAGAACTATTTTAGTAGCCGAATCCTGCATCAATACTAAATATTAATCCACTTTGCAGAATTTCTGAAGGTAGCTGAGAGGAGTCTTTTAACTTTTACCAAACTTTTGACATAGGGATGTTTCTGTGACTTATTTATATATTTCTATACTCATACTTGTTGTAACATTATTGTCTACTAGTAAATCAGTTGACATTTGAGCATTAATCTGACATTATTTTATTTTACGTCAAATCCGAAATTACTTTTCTACAAAATAAAAACTTGGGTGTACATAAAAAATAGAGAGAAATAAAAGGTTTATCCGAAGTAATTTAATTATTAGTCAGATATGGTTCAATGTTATGAAAAGATGATGGAACCTACATTGAGAGATGGATGTTTGAAGTACATTTTACTGAAGATATAAAATATAAGTTTGGATTAAGCTATTCAAATAAATTAAAACTCAGGTAAATTTGTGTGAAGAAAGAGTATAATAATCACTAAATGGATGCTTGATGGATCAAAATAATTTGCATGACTATATTTAAATGCAATGTGAATAAACCACTGAATTACCATGTTGTATGAGTCTTCTCTAGTGACATTATTAAACAATCACATAAATATATCTATTGCACTGAATTTAAAATCTTTCCACTGATGGAGCTCAACCGCTTTGTTGAAATATAACATTAGTAACAATGGATAAATTTATTGATTGTATAGAAATAAATTCTCGTAAAATTTATTTTATGTATTCATTATGAAGCATTTTTAAAATGATTGGATGATATATTCGTTTGTTATACTCACATTCATTAAAATCAGACATGTCAAACAACTTTCGATTATTTCTAAAGCCTTCTGTGCTTGTTTAGCTTGATGATATATAAACTGAAATGTGAAGCCCGAGTCGAAATACTGTCGTGTTTATGCGAGTAAATCTATCAAGTAACATATCATATAACTTACAACTATCAACACAAATTAGTTGAAAAGTATGTTGCACTAAGAAATTCATTAGTTTCAGCTTAAGATAAACATTGTGTTTTCTCCTATTTTTCAATCCACCATTCTAAATTATTTAAGCGCAGAACGATCATAAGCATTATCCTCCTTTATTACCGTGTTTTGGTTATATTGTAGTGAATGAGAACACAGGTGGGGCAACCGAATTGTATTTAACGAAAATTACAAAGGTACTCAGTAAAATCGGAAAACCATATCGTAAATCGTTCATTTGCAAAAGATCAGTTCATCCTATGGAACTGGACTGTTCCTGTTGCCAAACATCAATCCATTATCACTATTCATGCGTTTCATACAAATTCCAGTGTTTTCTAACTCTTCCTTTCTTGATCTTCCCCCCATATTATGCTACCAGACTTTACGTTGACACTCACGTTATATACTACTTATAAGTATTTCGCACCACAATATGACCTACTGAAATTATCTAACACGAATCATAGAAATACTGTTCCGTCCAACTATGAGATTCTTCAGCCGTGTGAGTTAGCCACCCAATCGGGAGGGATGAAAAACTACCCAATGCCACCTGGTTTATAATATCGAAATGTGATATAAAATATGAAAACTCAGTAAAATCAAACTCTTTCATAAATAAACAACCTGAGTTATCAATTGAGTTATTTCATCCTCCACATCGTCAAGATATTACTCTCTGTATTTTATGACTTCGTATGTACCTCAGACGTTGAAACTGATATATTTAAATTCGCGTTTTCTTTATATGAAGTGTTATTATTATTCACCAAACTGGTGTGTACTTACTTGAAAATGGATGATTCAACATCTATTCAGCAATCATTCATGAGAACTTATGAAGCCGAACTTTGTAAGAATTAAGGTAATATTTTCGGCATGTGTGGTGTAGTGAAATTAGTACACTATATTACTCAATTACTTACACCTGTTACCTCCAATGGAGCATAGGCCGCCCACCAGTTTTCTCCGACCAACTCTGTCCAGTTCTGTCCAAGTTTTGTTCATTCCTCTCATATCTTTCTCTATTTCTCGGCGTAATGTGTTCCTTGGCCTTCCTCTTTTCCTTTTGCTTTGAGAGTTCCATGTGAGGGCTTGTCTTGGGACGCAGTTAGGTGCTTTCCGCAATGTGTGTCCTATCCACTTCCATCGCTTCTTCCTGATTTCTTCCTCCACTGGAATCTGGTTTGTTCTCTCCCACAGTAGGTTGTTGCTGATGGTGTCTAACCAACGAATACGAAGTATTTTGCGTAGACAGCTGTTAATAAACACTTGTATCTTCTGGATGATGGCTTTCGTAGTTCTCCATGTTTCCGCTTGATACAGTAGAACTGTCTTGACATTTGTATTGAAAATCCTGATTTTGATTTTGAGCTCCAGATATTTTCAACTGTAAAAAGGCAGCCCTTGCTTTGCCCATCCGCGCCCTCACACCTGCATCGGATCCACCTTTCTCGTCGGTGATTGTGCCAAGATATGTAAAGGTGTTAACGTCCTCCAAGGCATCTCGATCAAGAATGATTTGGTTGGCGCATGTTGTGTTGCATCGTAGAAACTTACTTTTCCCTTCATGTATGTTGAAACCAACTGTTGCTGAGACTGCTGCTACACTGGTCCTCTTCTCTTGCATTTGTCGTTGCGTGTGCGATAGAAGAGCCAGATCATCTGTGAAGTCCAGATCGTCCAGCTGCGTCCTGGCTGTCCATTGGATACTGTGTTTCCCTCTAGATGTTGATGTCTCTACAATCCAGTCGACCATCACACCAGTCTTCGCCTCGAAAGAGTCTGTTAGCTGTCCTTCGTGTACGATTTTGCAGTTGAATCCATCATAAGAATTCCGAATGATGTTAACTATTTTCTGAGGCACACCGTAGTGTCGAGGAAGCCTACACAGTGTTTTCCTGTCCACGCTATCAAATTCTTTCTCGTAGTCGATGAAGTTGATGTAGAGTGGTCAGTTCCATTCAACTGATTGTTCCACAATGATCCGTAATGTTGTAATTTGGTCAGTACACGATCGATCCTTACGAAATCAAGCCTGTAGGTCTACAAAGTCCTTCATTATGTTTAACAGCACTCAGTCGAAGACTTCTTGTGGCCCAGAACTTCGTGACATGTTGAAGTGATTGCCTTCTTAATCCCTTTCCAACAGTTCTCCAATGTTGCTTCCTCTCCATCGAGTATACCGTCCAAGGCCTGGAACCTATTGCTTAGGGTTATCTTGAATTCGTTATACGATATCTCGAAGAAAGGCTGCATTAAACTTGTGTGATGTTGTCTGCCCCTTCACCCACTGTTTCTTCAGTTTCAGTTTTATTTTAGCGACCAGCAAGTGGTGATCTGAGGCTATGTCAGCTTCTCTGTTGGTTCTCACATCTTCCATAGTCCTTCTGAACCTTTTGTTGATACCGATATAGTCGATTTGGTTCTGAGTAGTGTGGTCCGGTGAAATCCATGTGGCTTTTTGTATGCGTTTGTGTGGGAATATTGTGTCGAGGTCTTCCCAATGTATTAAAAATCAGACACAAAAAAATCAAACCTGGCTAAACTAAACCTATCTGCTTATGGCTTTCAAAGCGTTATCACTCCAACATGCGAAGCTAGACATTACGTTGAGCTTTCCAACATGAACTTTTATGGAGTTTCGTCGACATCAAGAACGGACCTTAGTTAGGCAAGCCTCGCTACTAATAATCATCTTAAATTCAATGGTGAGTGGTAACACGAAGTAATTTCGGCGTCCTATCGCGAAGCTGTAACCAGTGGGTTTGGAAAATATTTAATATCATGTAATAGCCACCAACAATATCGTTTGATATTCACGTAACATTTATAGTGATCTGGAGTGGGATGCCATTTACTTCCTTAAACCAGCCCAATATTCTTGAGGTAGGCTTTCACACATGAAACTTCAAGTTCGATACCTTGAGGCAGGGTAGTGGATGCTTTCTGAAAAGAAGTACAAAGCTAAGTCAAAAGATTCGGTCATTGGATTCCAGGTTTTGCTGATGTTATTTCTTGGTTAATTTTTGTTCTTAAGTTTGAATTTATAATCCCCAGCTAACATGAAACGCAAAAGTCTGTAAAATGATCACAATATCTGATATGATCTTCAGTCAGCAGAATTCGTTGCAAAGAAAAGTTGTAATCCTAGTAAATGTGTTGAAATGAGAGTCTTTCACATTTTCTACCACCTTAGACATATACTTCAAATGATAACTGAACACCTACCTAAGCAAAAACAAAAGTTCGACATAAAATTTCTGACACTGTGTTAATATGATTGGAAAGTTCAGATTTTGCGAGGATAATAATAATTTTCACTTTCCAATTTGCAGAACATATCAAACATTCTGTTGTAGTTAAGGGCCTATTGATTCCTGAAATTTGTTTAATTATTTGATATTTTTTAATTATACGCAACCTTTAATAACACATTTTTAAATGTCATGGGAACCTTGGAGATTTAACTATTGGTCTCTCATTATAGATTGTGTACTTTTTTCATTTTATTTTGGCATAAATTTGATTGAATTACACAAAACATTTATACTGGCAACAAACTATTGAAACAAGAAACGAAATCAATCGGTTTAAGCCAGCTCGTTAATAATTTGTTAAGTTATGGGTCAACATCAAATAGATCATGTATTATATTTTGCATTATGAAAATTGAAAATATCGCAGGTAGTACACTAGACACTCCGGATGCAGTCAAAAATCATTTAAGGCCTAGAAGCCCTTTCATATATAACAAATCCACCGACAAATATGAATTCGATAATGACAGGGATATTTTAGAAGCTCAGTACCAAAAATCACCTGTTTTTCACGACTCGCACTGTATTGCAAATTTCATAAGGCCTGTTTCTTTAGCCACGTTAAAATGTCTTTCTCGTACCAAACCGGAAAACTATAAGTTGAATTTCTTGGGAAAACGTGATAGTAAAATTATCCAACCCATACTCCCATCTCATAAAGATGATTTTGTTGATCGATTCAATGTGAGGAGCGCCCCTTCAGAAGTTACCTCAAGAGAATCGAAATGCAAACTTGGTAATGGCGGTCAGCGTCCACTTTACTGTGAAGATCGTGAAAGTTGCTTTTCAGAAGTCTTCAATGATGAAAATAACTTTATTTACAATGGACAGAATGGGTGCCAGTTATCTAGCAATTCTGGGTATGGTCCTGATAAATCAAATTATGACCAGAAATCCAGTGAGACAATCTACATTAAGCCATATACGATAAGTCCTCTCTCGTACAATTTTCGAAAACAGCATAAAACTCCGAGTCCCAACGTATTTCCCTATCCGATTCCTTCAACTGCAATCGGAAAAATATCCTCTAATGACCGAACTATGGATCTATCGATGAATCATGGTGCTGACCTTGCCACATCGAGAAAAACCACTTGTTCAGGAATAGATCAGACAAAATTTATAGACGACTTACAGAGGTGTCCTAGCTTCTACAAAACAAGTTATCCAAGTCCAGATCCCGGATTTCCGGGAGATATACAAGTACTTCAGCCACATCCTAATCCAACTACAACATACAAAGATATCAAACAAGATCTCGAAAATCTTAAAACGGTCAGTAAGCAGTTTAAAATATACGAAAAATCTGGTCAGTTAACGGAAGATGTTGCTTGTTTTGATAACAGAAAGAATTCAGGCATGTTAAAGGTTACGGGAGATAGAAATATTCTCTATGCTATACCTGTCCACTGGCCAAATTCACATTCAGTTGTTATTCTAAAAAATCATGGTTCGTATGAAAATAACTACAGAGGTGATAAACGTCCTATTAATGTTCACAAACATAGTGGATTCGAAAATAACAGGTATGTAAATACTTTTTGATTTCATATTTGAAAACGATTGTCATAAGCTCACCGCGGTCATCAGTAAATATATATCCTGTTTCAGTAAAGTGTCCTTTATCTTAAGAATTCATCCAATATTACTAGCTTCTGTTTACTGTCCTGTTGCATCATGAAAAATGGTTCACATGATGAAGACCACTCATTTCCTAAAACTTTCTCGCATTCGGCTTACAGTCTGCTGTTATTCCGATTGTCTTTGTTGTAATTAGGAACGGGCTTCACCTGATCAATTTTCCTGATGTAATTAATCACTATAAAAGCACGAAATCCACCGCTCCCATTCATCCTGTTATCCTTGACAGTTCAACAACAGATTTAAATGTCGTCAAATAATAATTTCTTACCGTTTAATTAAATTTAAAATTATGCCTTTGTGAATCATTTTTAGAGACCTCTCAAGTCTATAAAAACAGAAACATGACTAACGGTTTCTGAACGTCTAACTTAATAATGTTTATTTTTTAGACTTATATGGATGATTTTTACTGAAAAATATATCTATCTTGAGGCATTTTGATGTAGCTATGTCCTTACTTCACAGATTTGATGCATTTTAGGCATTGCAACCAACTGTGACATAGATAACCATATATGTAAAAGCAATTTTCTCAATAAAATTTGTAAGTAATTTGTATTTTCTAAGTAGCTTCTCTCCTGATGGTAAATGAATATGTCCAAACTCTTTTTTGCTTCTTCCTCAATCAAAAAAAAATAACTGCGGTAGTTTCTCATGGATCAGAGTAATATTTCAAATTGTCCCACAGAGTCCTTGATGGGGAATTATGAATCGTGAATACCTTTTGATTTTAAACATAAGGAAGTCAACTATTCATTGCTAGAATCCACCGACAACGCAGTGTGTTCATTTTTCTAAGGCTTCCTTAATTCCAGTTTCATTTTGGCTACCACAAGCGGAGATCTGAAGTTATAGCAGCTCCTATCAGGGTTAGGGTTCTTAGATTGTAGTGATTTACTTTTACAAAGAAAGCACAGCAGCTGAAATATAAACATTTATTATTGTACTTAATTCTGACAATAATTGTTATATTGTACACTATCTCTCGCGCGCCAGGCGTGTTTTCCCCATTCTCCTCTTCGCACGTCTCCTGTGTGGACTTTAGCCGCTTGTATGCCCTCTCGACTCGATATTATTTCGATATCACGAGGCCAGTATCAAATATACTTCTTCCTCTAGAATCTATTTCTTATTCGATTCTCAGAGTCTGTAGTGGTAACATTTGTTATCCCGCGAAGAAGTATATCGTACGAATTGCTATAACATTCTTTATCTTCCTTCTGAAATTTTTATCAATGTAGATGCGATCACTTTCGTTCTTTGTAGTGTATTCCACTGAAACCCATATGGCCCGGTCTATGCGTCTGAATGGAAGTGTAGTATCACCTATAACCATTTTATTGAGGGCACATGGATTTGCGAATTTCTCTCCACAGCGACTGAAATAGTTCTCCCAGTCTCCCACATTATATGAACGTTCCATGTATCCTTATTAATTGTTGCTGAGGTTGTGAGAAAAGGCATCGGCTTGGAGGCCTACGAAGAAAATTGGCTTTCGTCATGAGTTGTGGTAACTCTTTTAAAAAATAAAGAACTTCCAAATGCCAGGACAGTTTATACGGCTTACTATTCTTGCTGGTTAGCGTCATTCGGCATGCTTGTCTTCTGATGTATGTGGTTGTTAATTCCATGCCAACTCCTCCTCCTTTATCCGTGCTTGGGACTGGTAGTAACCCTAGAATGGCTCCAGGAGGAGCAAATTAAAATCCCGATTTCCTAGTTTTGTAAGCATTATCAACACTCTAAATGTGGCATTTTACAATATCTGTTTTCGCTTTCCATATGGAGAGCAACCACTCATTTCGTAAATGATATTTGGACATAGTAGGTGTTATAACACACAATTCGAATTTCCAAAACCCAAGAATGGTTTTTAACTGATGCATAGATCTTCACTTTAATTTATCAATTTAAGGTTATCTTAACATAAGTATGTAAAATAAAATTGTTTTTATGGTTGTCCATTGACTTCTATTTATCTTTTAGGACTTTTGGCAATATATGTTTGATTTTCTCCTGAAATAATGAAGGTTATAACCTTATGGTAACTTATTCTTGTTCAGTGTTATGTTTTTATGTATTTGGTTCCTGTATTTACTGTTCCTGATTTGATTAATAATCAATCTAATCTCTATTATTATCTGCTTATCTTCTCAACTGAAAGTTAGAGTTTAAAATAAAATTTTTAACTGATGTTTATTTTATCAAAAAACAACTCCTAGAAAGTAGGTACATTTTCCTCTCGATAATAAGTAGAAATAACTTTGTAACACTTTTCACGTGTTTTTCTTTTAATAAAGTAGCGGTAGTCCTAGTGAACCACAAAGTGATTCTGAATATCAAAATGAAGCTGGTGTCACGCAAATGGTAAGTATATTCTTAGGTTGATAGTACGTTTATCAAAACTAAGTTTATAGCTTAATTTTTAATTTTTTTTATCAGCACATCAACTTTAAGCCGAAACTACTTTTGAAAGACTTAAAATACTAGTTAGTTATACAGGTCAAAATCTTTATCTGCTGGTTACAATTTGACTGTTTAAAGCAATGAGCCAACAGTCAAAATAATACTTCTCCAATGTGTATGTTTCACTTCAAATATGATGATTATCAGAGATTTTGTTTTTTGACTAAATGATTTTTCAAACCAATATACTGTCTGATAGTGGTTGAAAGTACTACAACTCACCCATCTTTTGTAAAAATCATTGGTTATTGGTTATTCCACCTTAAATTTTTTTATACATCTTGAATTAAATAGACTGCTTTCACTATTATTTTTTCATGATATATAATTATTTGTTTAACATTGCCTCTAATGTCTAACATTACCTATTATGGTTCATATGATAAACTTTTTGAACTAAAAATATATAATTTATCCTTAATTCGATTCCTGTAACAATTCAAACTTCCTCTACGATGACCTACACATTTGTTTTTTTTGTGATAAACCTCTATACTGTTCTAGTGCTTATAAGTCATGTTCATTAGAATGTTTATAAAATTCAAGTTTCCACAAATTGGCAGTAAAGACAAACTATTTTATTAGGTTGTGGGTTCCAGTAGTTATCTGAGGTCTAATTAATACTCTTAATCTGACTATTTAAATCTCATTTGGTACGACACATTTTCGACATTCATTTAACTTATCGAAGACTTTTCAGTTTTATTTGAATTGAAAGTGTAATTTTAGAAACTATGTTTTAAAATAATGTTTGCTTCTTGTTGTCATTGTTTTCAATGTGCAGTACAAACATCCAAACTCTCTACAAGACCCATCATTTTATTCGAAAGATCCCTTCCAAGTTTATCCAACAGTGAAGCAAGTGGAAATCGATAGTGGGAATGGTACTGATGAAGATGATCAAATTTCCAGGGAAACTACTTCATCGAAAGATGTTTCAATGGTCCGGAATGCAAATGTAGATAATACTTGTTCTTGCAGTACTGATTCAGTTGAATTAGATGAATGCTTTTCGTCTGATACGGATGAAGATGAAACTATCGTTGACGAAAGTGGAAGTGATGATAATCAGTATATTAGCTATCAAACAAATGAAGAATCCTCAACACCTACAGCAAACAGTTGTTCAGTAAATGATAACTTCAGTGATAATGAGAACTCAGTTAATCCATTACACATAAATGAACTGTCGGATACAGGGCTATCTGATAGTCCACAAGTTACAAACAAGATAGATTCGAATTGTAAACAGTCCATAATAGAAAAGCGAGCTGGCAAAGATTTGAATGTAGAGTTGCGTATGCCATCAAAATTATCTCATCTCAAACTTAGCACATTTTCAGAAAAAACAGAAAAACATTCAACATTACATGTGGTCGCATACGACCATAACAAAACCAAGAAAGGTAGGCTTAAAATAGATATAAATACTTCTTACTTAAACTCATATCGGTCATCTAGTTAGAACATTTACCTTTATGAGTTGTTTTCCTGATCAGCAACAGTTTTAATTCCTTTTTGGTTGTTATCTACTCAGAATATAAATTTGATTGAGCTGTTATCTAAAATAAAAATACAAGACAGTTTGTAGCGGTCGGTATTCGATATATTCCCAAACTTCATCTACTACTCCTCCTGATAACCGTTATTAGATAACGCCCAACGATGCATAAATAAGCAGACAAGTACGATGCGTTGAATATGTTTATTTTCGCACCACAAACAGACCACCAAAACCACAGGTACATGGGGCAAAATGATCTATGAGCGCCAAAGAGTAAGTGCGAGAGTTAGTGAATTGACGAATCAATGAACAGGATTAAAATGCACAAATATATACATAGGAAAATGAATAAATCATCGAAATATTTAAGAGGCTAACAGTAAAGCGAATAGAATGAATATGCGCATAGGCGGTAAGCAATGTTCAACCTTACTTATTCATACGAGGGCGACAATAACAAGAGCTCAATCGTACAGGCAAATTATTGAAATACGAATGACTCAGTTGAAAAGTTAATCTAAAGGGCTTAACCAAATTAAATGTCAACGAACTCAGATATATGCAAGGTACTACAAATGTACTTATCATTTTCATTATTTTCGTGAATTCATTTCGTAGCAAGTCTTTTTTTTATGCAGTAAAATGAACCCATTACGTGTCATTGTTTTCTGTTCAATTGGAAATATAAAATAAAATGGAATAAACAATGATAGGAAAAAACTTTAAAAATTGATCCACTTCATTAAACAAGAAAAAAATTTGTTTATTAAAAGATGTGAAAAGAGAAGTGATATCGTGCAATTTGAGGAATCTATGACTAAAAGGTAGTGACTGTGTAAAACTGACTATTTATGTTTTTAAAACGTTACTATGGTTTATTCTATAAATATAAACATTTGTTTAAATAGATATGATTCAATAAAAGCAAACTTCTGATTGGAATTAGTGCTAATATTGTTCAACTATGAGAAATATTGACATAAATTTTAAAATATTTGAATGATTAACTTTTTTATTCAATCATGTTTTAAATGACAGATAAACTTCGAACTTTCATTATGGGTAACTGTTTCAAAGTGAGAATCGCTAACGTTTAATGAATATGTTATGATGACCTTCTAAAACCAACTAAATAGAAGATAAAACTGGTATTTACTGAAAAACAAAGTGATAATGTTTTTATATTTTTCAGTGATAGTTTAATTTGTTAGAAGCAATTTTAAAGTTAAACCATTATACCGAACATATTTTACAAGATTTAAAATTTATGATCTTGTATCATTGTATTTCCTTTTACAGATATCATATCTACTAGCAAATTTAACATGTCAAAGAATTCGATAACTAACCACAATGATAATTTATCAATATCTAATTCAATTCGAACAACTGATCATCAAAATTTAACAGTTGAGAAGAAGAATTCAAAAATGGTACACTGACTCTTTTTCGTATGATAATCATTTCTGTTTTTATTTTCACAGACTGAGTTCACAGAACTCAAAACTTCTGATAAAAATCTTTCATTGAAACCAATCAGTGCTTCAGTTGAATCATCACAAACTACACTTAGTTCAAAAGAAATAAAAACGAAACATAAAAAAATTCCTCCGAATCGATTTACTCAATGCACCAGAAAATCTCATCCAGCTTTGATTGATTCATTATTTCCAAATGTTCCACCAGTTTTACGATTTGTTGAAGAAGGACAGAAGTGTGAGTTTTATTAGTGCAATCCATCCATTTAATTAGCTCGATCTTCTGAAAATTTGTCTGTCAAAGTTCTTCTATTTCTTTGTTAGAATATAAGTACAGATGAACTTGAAATTTCAACAAACTTTTCAGTCTTATTCCATACTTATTATTTTACTACTACTGTGTGTACTTTACTTGAATAGAAAATTAACTTAATTCAGAAGTTACACTATGATCATTAGTTTAGGTCAATCAGTGTTGCATTCTCTATTTCCATGTAAAACAGTTGGAGAAGACCATCAGAAAGCCTTAGATACTGAAGCAAAGGGTATTTGAAATCTTCAGGGAGATCTTACCGCTGAACTTTCTAAGCCAAAATGTACGTGAAATAAGTCCCTTAATATTTCAGATGGTCTGTCTCTTGTGATATCAAACCATCCATGTATTGAATAAAATTATATTTAATAAGATTCAGGATTCAATAATATTTGAAGGCTTTCATTAGCTTGTCAGTTTGCGCAGATTTTGTTCAAGAATCATTAAAAATTTTTAAACAAACAAATCAATGTACAATTATGTTGAAGACAAATCTAACTAATAAAGTAATTTACAGTCGCGAATTTCAAGTCGATATGAAAAATCAATACTTCTAATGTGTACATCATGAGTCAGTATCTAACTGATAAGTCGCTTCATTTTAGTCTTGCAACATGTCAATTGAATGTTTTAGACGGTTTTTAATACTTTGTATGGAATCGTTTATGTAGTACATGGCACTCGAATTATGATGAGATCTGACATATTTCAAGCCTCTACATTTAGGGAAATTTAAGACTTTATCAACGTCTGGCTGTAATCTTGTTTTTCTTTTTAAGTATCGAATACAGTGTAATAATTCGATTCAAGTCTTAGGGAAATATCAGAGACCGATCAATCAATCAATAGCAACGTAGAACTTCGTACGTACGTACGTACGTCATTTCATGTTTACATACCACACTATCACAGAGATGTAATTGTCAATTCAAATCCCATAGTAGTGGAGGTAGTAAAGGCGTTAGCAGTAATCATCAGAGACTGATAACAACCAGACAGTCATTAATAATAGTATTATCATCTCAACAACTTGATTTTCTCACTTAGTGCTACCAAGAATTGGATATTTTAAAAAAATTAAAACTTTTGGAACTATTCTACCAAGAATTACTATATACCTGTAAAATACATGAGTTTTTAGATATTTTTATATTCTTCTAACTGTAAGCTTTTTGTGTTTCAGAAAATGTTATAATTAGTTTCAACGTCTTCAAATTATCGTCTAAATTATCAACATTGACCTACTAGTCAAATTTGTATCATTTGGGAATTAACCATTTAGATATTATTACTTCTGGTTTGCGGTGCATTATGGCCAGATAATGAGTGTACACAAACCTACAAGTTATTAAGTCATGATGAAATGAGTATAATGAAAGGTTAAATATGCTTAGTTTCTCTGTCTTCTTATCGGATAATGAGCTAGAAGAAGATGGATAGACTGATCAACAGTTAGATTATATTATGGTTTTAATCATAAATATTAATTCAATAAACACGAAGTGAATTAGTCAGTTTTTTGACTTTTTAATCAACTGTTCTTTATTAGCAATCAGCCAGATCAAATAACACCAAAAAGTATTTAGAAGCTGAGAATACGATACTTTAAGAGCTAAATTAGTCGTTTATTGAATTATCCTATCTGTATTATTGCAGCTGTTATTATATTACTAATCATTTATGTATTATGATTATCTATGTGATCTGCATTCCGGTTATCACTGATTGATAAAATACCTTGATTAGTCTTGTGCTTTCATTGCATATATCTATCAATATAATTGTTGACATCAGTGTAAAACTTGAAGATGAAGTACTCACAAACAGTATTGTTTGCGTATAAATGTTCATAAATTTAACATTTACTTAATTTGAATGATTTATTTATTCGAATGCAATTTCTAGTGGAACCATTGCCATGGGAATTTCGTCGACTACTGAAATGGAGAGCTAGTACCCTGACCCCTGTTGTAGTGAAGCAAACTTTACAACGTACAGGGTTTAAAGTTTCAAAATGTTAGTTATTATTTTTAATATTATTATACAAGTCATGCGTTGTGATTTTTCCTTTTAAAGGGTAGATTATGCCTGTTTACAAAATAAGCTATTCTTTTCAAGAAAATATGATCAAAAATGGTTTTTAGATGATGGATTTCACTAGTGGTTAAGTGAATACTGTAAAGTAGATTGGAAATTTTAAATTCTCAGTTTTTTTAAGGGAAATTCATGACGATAAGTGATTTAATTTACTAATCACAGACCGTTACATTGTTTTGTTTACCTTCTGGCAATACCACTCTATTGTTTAAGCCGACATAAGTGGAACAGAGTTTGATCCCACTACTCAGTGGTTACAAATCTAATGATCTCACATCTAAACTGATTCTCTACCTGATGAATTGGTCGGCAATATTTAATTGACTGATAATTTACCACTTAAACAACAATTTTCTTAACACTTCTTACGAATGCTCTAACCTAACGTGAAAGACTAAGATGATTAGAGTTTCCTAAGGAAATAGCCATAGTGACAATAATTAGTTCCAAAAAAAAATCACTAGGAGGAGCCAAAGTTTTGATAAATTCAACATTTTTTTTAAATTTTTTATTTAATCTGATTAGTCATACAGTCCATTTTGTAATTGATGTCAACTTATATACTTCTCGGGTAGTTTAGTATTTTTCTCATATGCATTTTAGTATTACTGTATAAAGTAGAACATACCAAAATATACCACACTAATATATATTTCTAACTTCACTCTCTGAAAATATAAATAATAGCCGTACACATTGTTCCTTGAATTAAATTCTAGTTCCAGATAACTTCGCACTAATATCTAATTTGACTTGACTCTTGAAAGTTCTTACATAATAAATAAATGAAAATGCGTGACTTCTGTTCACTGAAATGTGTTAAATCAATGAAGAATAATTCTTAAAGTGGTTTTTACCTTTGAACTGAAATTAGATGAATCATCAGTCAAAATAACAGAGTTCTAAATCATGTCTTTTGCATAGATTGTTACTTATTCTCAACATAAACTAGAACTTTACACAATCTCATAACTAGGACCTTGGAATGCTATAGGTTCTAATGTTCTCTGGGTTTCTCTCATTGTTCCATTGATGAACTTATATGATGGAAACCAAGATATCAAGCTATGCAAATTTTCATGCACCTCCTATATATATAGCAAAATAACTTTAGATCACATTCCCGACATGATTTAAAATTGATCTGAACTGCTTAATTACAGCAAATTACTCCCTTTGATTTTCGAATTTTATTGAATTTTCAGTAACCAATGCATCTGAAGACTTGGAAACAACTGGTAAGTCATATGAGAATTGTGAATCACAGTTTTCATTTTTATAACATTGAAACTTAATTCTTATACTTCTCAGTGCCAATTCGTTGTATTTGAATTTCTTCGAAATGGATATTAAGATTAATTTCCTAATTAAATCTACACCATAATATCATTTACCAGTTTATTAAAATTCAGTATGTCACTTAGTCATTGTTACACTCGTCTCTAGGTATGCTTAAAACTTACGGGTTCACCTTAGTTTCAAAACCAGAACAAAACAATGAACCAGCTTCCAGGTAGGCTACTATGATCCCTTGACCCAAATGTACTATCAAGAAGTCTTGATATAGCGTAGGAAGTGTATTCTACAACACCCAGCCAGCACACAATGAATCCAAGAACACAAATCGCGTTTATTTGTACACCATAGAGACGTCCTTGGGACAGTCACAAAATCACACACTAAAATAACACAGTAACCAATCACAGCCAAGGGTTCTCCTGGTGGGAAAAGTGATCTTAAGGTCAGCTGACCATCCCATGAAATAAATCTAAAATAAAGGCATTTATCAAGCGACTTCTGGGGATCTAACATCCCGAACAGTCATTTTACTTATTGAATAAAGAAAAAGAAGTCAAAAATAAATTTTAGTTTTTTTTATAAAATACTATGAATTATCTATCTTAAGATTATTTCATCCCTTCATAAATTCAATTACTGATTCATTCTCTAAACATTTGGTTTAACTCCTAAACCGCTCCTATATTTGAATAGACATGATTTTATACATAAATGTACAAATGACCATCATCGTGTAAATTTTTTGGTCAAGTTGATGCATTTTCTATCTTATCCATACTGGTTATACTTTTATCAATACAGTAAAAGTTCATGTTTAGGTTTAATAATAAGCTGTAATTTATTTTTAAAAATACTGAATTCTACTGAAACCTTCAAAAATAGAAAATAAAATACAGTGTAGTTTATGTTGTTCACAGTGGATTTTGTACGAGTTTGTTTCATTAATGGTTTGAAACAATGATGTTCAGGTTTACTGTACTAAAACATAAACTAAGTTGAATTTTCGAAAGTTTAAGAACATAAATACTATTATGAAAATTTTGGATAGTTTTTATTGTTAATATTGAAAATTAATATCATCTGAAATCGTTAAGTTGTCAGAGAGTACAAAATGATTTTGATGTAAGATAAAATAATCTTTTTTGGCGCAATTTGTTACCTCACCTTTTGAATAGTGCATTTAATGAATCCTTGAAACGTGAGAAGTGTATTTACTCTGCGGTCAGTCTCCTAGGTCTCTAAGATCAATATTAATCCGTCTTCGTTTTCAGGTTCCTCAAGAAACACCCACGCTTTGGGCAGCCGGGAAGTGACATCCTCCCTCATACCTATAACAGCACGCGAGATTAAATTGGTCACAAACTGAACACATCATATTCTTATTTTAGACTAAAATTATATATTCACTAATGTAGAAATTTGTTCTTTTTCTAGGTCTGTAATTTCTTCATCTGTAGCCCATTCTACGTGATTATTATTAGTATTATTATTTAAAAAACCTGGTCAAGTGCACATCTTAATAGTATCATTTTTGTTGTTCAATTAATGACCTTAAGTATTTTGTTGCTTTTAATGCGATAGAAACCAAAGACTAAGTTGAAAAAGAATATATTTATAGATATATAGATATATGGTCATTTGAGTTCAGTTAATATTTTTGTACAACTATAGATAATCAATTATGAATAGGAATAATATTCAATATACACTCTTTGTTACACCATTTCAAGTACAAAAGTATTTTCAAAACTTATAGGGATTAGATTAGTATACTTTTTATATGCATCGTTTATTGATGATAATTGACTTAATTTATTAAAAAAGGTTTGAACATCTTCTAATAAGATGATTACAGTATGTTATACGGAACCAATAAGTTGTCATCAACTTATGTGTAATATAAATTATTTTGTTCTATTATACACTTTACCATGTTGTCTTTTTAATACATATGGAAATTTGTTCTTGTTTCTTTTAAACTATTCCTCAGAATCATCAGATTGGATATTTTATTTTGGGAAACATATGCGTCCGCAAACATTTCGTACAATTAAAATGTATCAAAAGGTAAAAATCACATTTTCTAGTGCTTAACCTACAGTCTATTTTCTTGAAATCTTAATCAATACTCTATCAGAATAAATTTCTATTTTCAGACTGATTATGAGCTTTTCATTATTTTTTTTTAAAAGAGGAAGGATAATTTGATATCTGTATGTAATTAATCATTTGTTGAGATTTAAATTGCATTCATACTAAAGGTGTATCCCTAATTAATGACGTTCTTTATTTTGTCAATCAATCAATCAAAATAATGTAATTTTTTTCATCGAATTCACTTAAAATCTCATTAAGTTTAGATTAGAATGCAACTAACAAACCAATTTTTTAATCATTTGAAAACGTTTTATACAATATGCTCATTTATCACGTTGCTATTTCGTAATGTGTACCACAGGTAAAGACTAATCATCCACTGGCGACTATTCTGTAATGCATTATTTTAATAAATGTTTTGGAAGTATCAGTAATTTTCACTATTTGGAAAATTACATTTGTCATTTAAGTTGGGAATGAAATCAGTTAGTTATGTATTGTAATTAACTCTTAAACTCATAGATTTTTACAAATCATCGAACCTTTCTGAATAAGTTATTTCGATTTTTACCAAGGTATTATGCTTCAAACTCTTAAGTTCACTATATTTTTTGTAGGTATTTCATAAGGCTTGTACTTTTATGAGATAGATTTCATAAAAAGAAACTGAAAGGATATGAACATATGCTGCTTGTTCCAATAGAACCTAACGGACTCAGAAATCGCTTACATAACTGCTTTTCTAAACTCTTCTCACATACGTAATAAAAACCATATTACATAATCTGAAAAAAGCGGTCAAAGGTGTTGGGGATGTTAGATCTCCGGAATTCACTTGATAAAGGTCGTAATTTTGAATGTTATGCTTTCGCACATGGGTTGACCAGTTTACCTTGAGGTTAAATTTCCCACCCGGAAAACCCTTGACTGTCATTGGTTGATGTATTATTGTAGTACGTTGTTTTCTTCGCTCTCCCAAGGACGTTTTTATCATGTATAAATAAACTCAATTTGTGTGCTTGTTAACCTCGATTTTCTCGGTGCTTGTAGAATACACTTTCTACGTCTTGTCAAAACTTCTTCGTCTACTTAGTGGGGCCTTGGGACGCTCAAATTAAAGTGGCCTATTGTGTCCCTGGATCGTTTGTCTTCGCTCTCGTTTACCGACTAAGATGAACTTGTAATAGTTTCAAGCATATCAGTTGACGAGCATAACAAAAGGATAAATCATATACAAGTGAAATCTAAAGGCATGTATTTTAATCAACCATGAACTAGGCAGAAACTGGAACAAATGTATATATGCATCAATCCATGTCGCTATACTTTCAACATCACAAAAATGTTAATTGTCAAGATAGATAACACAGTTAAAATAATAGTAGTGACAATAGCAAAAAGGTCAAATATATTTTTTGCATAAAAAACAAGGGAAATTAAAAGAAAATTACCAGTATTGCATGGTTTTTTTCCAATCACATGAATGAATGTTGCTGTATTATTATACTAAGAAGGCATGATTATATCCTACAGTTTATGCAAATTTTGAATTGGATATAGTCTAAAAGTTATTCTCATAACCGATGGTTGATTATTATTATTATCCACACGGTTTTACATCAATTAGTGTTATAATGCTGCTACGTAGCTATTCTACCGACGTCCGAATTCAAATATTCCAGTATGACCAAAATACTATTCCCAAATCTCCTATATATCAGAACGCAACACCGTTGAGTGGAGTTGTTTATTGGGTCGAGTACAGAAAAGAGGTAGGCAGGAAGGAACGGAATCATGAAGTCTTACAGATAGAGCGTATTTATACATTTAGGTCGAATAGGAAAGAGCATCGAAGTCTGTGGCATTGACAGTTTAGGACAACCGATAGGAAAGAACATTTGAAATGATATTGACAGTCCGGATGACTAATCAGAGACAACATTGAAGTATTTGACTTTAACAGTTAAAACGACCATATTTTTGACCAATAGGATTATATTTCTTAGGATATTTGGTGAATATCCTAACAATTAGTCATATCGTTAAATTTGTAATTTATGTTTTTCTAATCCATGAGTTTATCAGCAAATCGACATGAGTTTGTTATTCAAAGGGAAATAAGCATAATTGTCGGAAGCGGTTCAATATAATACATTTTGTTGGTCATATACAAAACCTGACAGTTAGTTTGGGTCCCTACCCCAAAACACACCATTATGATCTTATTTGTAGGCATTCACCATCATCACACTATCATAAATTGGAAACTTAACTTTTTCATTTGGTGATTTGTCTTGATTATGCTAAATGAAAACATGGTAATTTACAACAATATTCAACTGTATAGGGTCTTATGTTGTTGTCACTAATTGAATATAGTTTTACCATTGTTAGGATATTCATCAAATATCCTAAGAGAATTATTTTTCCTATTGGTCGTCCTAACTATCAAAGTCACATACTTCAAAGTTGTTTCCTATTCGACCTAACTGTATAAATATGCATTATCTGTAACGTTTTATGACCCAGAGCCGGACCCCTTGGTCCGTGAACCTGATTCTCACTTGGACTAGCACCTCGTACTTTCTGGATGCTTGTAGAATACATGTTCTACTCCATATAAAGTCTTCTTCTTTTACTCAATGGGGGTTTGGTATAGTCGGATTAGAGTAGCCTGTCGTGTCGCCGGATCCTCGTTGCTCGCTCTCGTTTTCCGACTAAGGCAAACTCTTAATATTTCAAGCATATCAAATGACGTGTTGACGTGCATTCGTAACAACAATATTATAGTTTATATTAATTTTCCAATAAATTTCATGTTTTAATTAAACTATATTAAGAACTACCACTGACAATGTTTACTTTTTTAAGAAAGCAAGAACAAAGGATTTGAATGAAATAACACGAATTAATTTTGCTCTTCTCATTCAATTTTATTGTTTAATTGATACAGGTAAATCATATACCTTGTTCATTTCAACTTGGTCGTAAAGATCGTTTATGGAGGAATATAGTTGAGATGCAATTAAAACATGGAAAAGAACATTTTAATTTTATGCCACAAACTTTCTGTTTACCTGGTGATTTAGATGAATTAAAAAAAGCGTGGGATGAAGAAGGAGAAAATCAACGATGGATTATGAAACCGGTTCGTTTAGAATTTGACTTTTTCAACTCCTTTCTTCATAGATTTTATTGGTTGAAATAGCTGAGATAAATGAAATTGACTTGTTACTGAGATTTTTTTTAAAAAGGAATTAAATAGCTATAGAGTTCTTCTGTTGGATATTACTACTATAATAATGCTTGACTGCGAAGTACTCACTATCCTTTTTGCAATTTATTTCTTTGACATTAATTGATTATCTAAGATCATATTCCTGGTTACATAGATTGTGGTTAGCGTGAGTTTCTTCCTGTTTGTAACTGGGTGTACCGGCATCTCAGGTTGACGCTAACCAAACGTCTTCGCATTGCCTACTCAGTTATCGAGTCCAGATACCACTCACTTGTACGTATATGAGATTGAACTCAATTTAAAATGGTTTGAGTTATTCCACTGTTGATATTTCAAGTCAGCCACTTTCAGTGTATGACTTCGTACATACATTTATCAGTTCAAGTTGCCATACCACATTAGCACAGAGATAAAATTGTCGATTCAAATCCCATAGTAGTAGAGATAGCAGAAGTATTAGCAGTAGTCGGAGAGCAGAGTTCGAGGATATTATTCAAAATGTATAATCTAGTGAAATAATTTTTAAAAAAAGAGAAAGATAACGAAGTTGGGGAATCCAGAAGATTAAAATTTGTGAGAACACAAAATTTGTTTGCCCTTTTGCGATCGCAAACGATTTTGAGCCATGTCAATCAAGGTCTCTAACCGTTGATTATTACCATCTCGCGCGCCCCAACCAGGTAGTCTACATCTATTAACATGATTCAGTCCGCTTGTCAGTGACTTCATGGATTTCCGCCATGTTTTGGTCTGGCTGCACCTAGCTTTCGACCAACCTATTCCTACATCGCAAAACAGCTGGTCGAGGCAGTCGGTGGTTAGGCATACGCAACAGATGTCCTAACCACCTGAAATGATGAAGTTTCATTACTTCATCTATTGACCTGCCATCCTTACCTAGGACCTGTTTCCTAACAACAGCATTGCTTACTCGATTGTTCGGAGACACCGATAATCGAATACCAGTAACCTACTAGTATTTTCTACTGTGGCTAGCCTTGCTTCACTGCCAAAAAGTAGGATGCAGCGAACTGCCGCCCAATACACTTGTCCTTAGATATTTCAAGTGAATTTGATCACTCTTAGTTGACATATAGATATCTTATGCTGATCGCCTCGATATAGCCATTATGGCACAAGTTTGTGTGGGATGCCTAGATGCTACTAAAGCTGATCAAACTTCAGTGAAAATATCAACAATCGGGTAATCCATACCATTTTAGATTGAATTCTATTTTTGTGTTTGTCGTTCATAAGATAAACACTCGTTTTCTACCATTGTATTATACTCAGTAACTTAGATTCTCTCTTGATTATTATTTTCCATTAAAAAATAGTATTTTTCCGCTTATTACATTTGTTTATTCCCTTTCTGCATCCTTAAACCACACAATAGTCGTAAAAAAATATTTAGAATTCATCTAACACTTACCAAACCTCACTTCTTTGTCAATGATTTTGCATGTTTTGATAGGCGTGTAAGCAGCAAAAGTAATCTGGCAACTAGCCACTTAAATCTGAACATAATCACTGGTTTGTTCTGTAGCTCTGTATACTGTCAGTGTACACCATCTTCTAAGTATTTGTTTAGTGTATGACAAAATAATCGTTCTAAGTGATCACATATAATTTAAACAAGTGTGAAGCTGGAGAGTAGTGATTTAAATTGTTAGTGTGAATTCTTGAATTCTCTTACACAAACGAATAATCAATAAGTATCACTCGATATATTACAGTTTTTTATCAGCTCTTGTAACCAAAATTAAGACACTGAGAATCCTTAAAAAGCACTTTGAATTTTACACGACTTCCTTCCATATCAATCCCTTCATAACTGCAAATCTTACTACACATTTACGTATTGAACATTATTTTTAAATGACTTTGCTTTGTTATTCTATTGGTCTGAGAATTGTTGATTAGATCAAACTAACTGACAGAATTTATCAAGGATACTTCATCATTGATTCTGTATCAAATGATTCTCAACTAAATAATACTTTTTATTTACAGCCAGCTTCAGCTCGCGGAATCGGTGTTCGACTGGTGACTAAATGGTCACAAATACCTAAGAAGCGTCCAGCTCTTATTCAAAAGTATGAAGCTTTTATTAAAAATTTTAATTTACAAACCGTTTACTGTATGTCACTTATTTATGACGCTCTCTGTAATCTTCCATTAAATGATAATTTCTTATGGTTTTAGTTAAATAGTTAAATAGTTTTCTTATTCTGAGATAAGAGTAAATATTTACTTATTTCTGGTGTTGAAATAAATTTAAGACATTCCTTCTTGAAGAATCCAATGTGTCATTGTTTATCTAGTTTTCAAACACAATCCTTACCTTGGATATTAATGGTTTAGTCGTAAAATTTCTGTTCGTGATACTGTGTGAATTGCATCTGAATCTCATCAGTTGTCGCAAGACTTCAAGTACACCTCGTTAACAGGTATCGAATAACATGATATCTGAGAAGTAACTCATTTTCAAAATACAGATTAATGTGCTCTGTTTTCAGTCACACGATTTGCTTGAAAACTTGGACTGCATAACGTAACATTGCTTAATGACCATTTTGCAATAAGTCTTTACTGAATGTCTCATGGGGTATAGAAAAGAAATACAATATTACAAACTTATTTGTATATAAGTTTAGTGACTAACTTCTGGAATACAAAAATAATGGAAAATAATTTAAAGTGTGAATCGATTAGGTGACACTTAGTGTTTATGAAGTTTTGATCAATTTTACCGAAAATATTCAATAAAAATGTGAATAAAAATAAAAATTTCAATGAACGAATTGCTAACACTTATGAAGACACTTGTATCATTTGAATATGCTAAAAATAATATCCAATTTTTATTTGTGTTCATTTCTTGATTTTTAGAAATTTCACTAGTTCATTCATCATTGAAATACAAATTTTATAATTTCCATCAAATTCATTTTTAGTTATTATTACTTACTTACATAATATTACAATATTGATTTTTATTCAATAAGAACAATACTTATATGTTTGAACTTTGTAATAAAACAATATTTATTTTATATATATATATATCAGAGAAATTTCATGAATAATTTGAATAAATAAATCTACATATAAAGAGATGAAGATGATGTTTTAGATAGTTCATGTGATGGATTATCTAGTGATACTCTTTTTCACCTTCATCATAAAAGTACAAACCTATTGACTATAAATGTGTCCTAGGTAAAAGATTGCCTAATATTCCAATGAGTTTGAATCTTTAAATGTAATTTAATAGTTGGACAATACTTCAATGAAACATTTCTCTAATATGTTCAATAATATAACAATAATCATCTTGCCTCACAATGACGATTACAGTGTACATTTCCAAAATCAATAAATTGTTTGTTAAGTTATGGAATAAGAAAACTATTCCATAGTATCATCTTAACGTTAGAACTTTTAATTATTGAATTTCCTTTACATTATTAAAATGTTAGAGTATTCTTATATAAACGAAGTTTCAGAAGACAATTGTTTATTGAACTCAGTTTAAACAAAATGAAAAAGAAAATTATCTGTTCTGTGATGTCATTTACGTACATGTTCCGGATAAAAGTGAATATCGATTATTGTTTCAAGGACAGTATTCTATAAGCTGGTAATAAATTAGCCTTCTAGGAGAGTCCCAAGGGAGTTCCTATTTATTTTTGTTAATAGAACGTATCCTAACAGTCTGTAGAAACCCTCGAGAGCTATACGGATATACTGGAAAGACAGAATCATTGATGATGGACAAACTTATCAATGTCTAGATCTGTTGGTAATTTCTGACCTTTAGTAAACTGTTAGGATATTCATCCAATATCTTAAGAAAATTATTGGTCAATTCCTACTGGTCAATTTTATGGTTGCCCTAGATATCAATGTCACGTGCTCCAGTGTTGTTTCTTATTGTTTGTTCCGACTATCAATGCAACTTCAAATGTTGCTTCCTTTTGGTCGTCTTAACTGTCAATGTCACAGACTGCGATGCTGTTTCCTATTCGACCAAAATGTATAAATACGTATTATCTGTAACGTTTTATGACCAGGACCAGGACCCGGTCCCGGATCCCTAGTCCGGGATCCTGATTCTCTTCTGGATTCGGACCTCGTACTTTCTGGATGCTTCTAGAATACAGGTCCTACTTCATATCAAGTCTTGTCTTCTTTTACTCAACATGGGGATTGGGATAATAATCATACATGAGTAGCATGTCGTGTCGCCGGATCCTCGATCGTCGCTCTCGTTTTCCGACTAGGTAAACTCGTAATAGTTCAAGCATATCAAAATGACGTGTTTACGTGCAGGCATAACATAAACATTCCACTCCATTGATTAGGTTTTTATGGCTGTATCCATCATCGAAAGGTATAACGAAGGAATCTCTACTCCGACCCCACTGGTCGAGTCAGATTTTATAACAGACTGTCATCAGAATTTATGATATCAAGTGATACTCTTAACTATTGCTCGTCTTCCCCATTACTTTTTAGTTTTTTCATAGACAGTTTTCAAGGATAAGGTTTTTATAGTCTAAATTTTCTGGAACTGTTCCGTTACTAGGCGGTTGACTAATTGACCTAGAACAAATGAATGACACAGTTCTGTTTGATGAATTCGCCGATGAGGTTTAAACTTTTTATCACCTTGAGCAACAATACAAGCATACTTGGAATGTGGTTTACTTTCTCTAGATATAAAATGTTACTTCAAGACTAATCTATGTCAGCCTAAAGTAACTGAGTACATCCATCACTTCACTTATCTTAGATGTTTCATTAGCTCCAGTGACTTGGTTTCTGATGAAAACCCAGTGCGTGTTCCGAAAGTTCGGTTGACTTTTACTAACTTTGGTCACCTACGGCGTAAGCACGTACCGGACTACCAGCCACCTACTCAGCAGTTCGTTATGTCCCATTTTATAACTACAAAACATGACTTTCCAAAATAAGGGTTATTCATACGCTACTAGTATTTGTCTTCGGAGCATTACTCTTAAATATTGGAACCATCGTTCTAGTAATGCTGAGGTAAGGTGCAAATCTCTTGTTGAAGCAGCGAGGTAGTAAGAATGTACATTATGTGAGTCCCATCATTACCTATTTAAATTTTGTTTTTGGACATAAAACAATATAATTGTTGTTGAATAAGTCACAAAATATTTATCATTTCATTGAAGAGATAAACAACTGTCGTAACCCTCAGTAATTCTAGACTGGATATCATTGCCATTTATCTATCTGTATATAAGTATCTGTAAATTTGTAAATTCTTTGCTTTAACATAAATCAAATATTGAATTAATGAAATTTGATGAGCATCCTTCAAAATTTCTTTTCGTTTTTTGCAGATACCTTTCTCGTCCATATCTGATAAATGATAGTAAATTTGATCTACGCATTTATGTGTATATTTCATCAATCAATCCTCTTAGGTTATATATACATGAAGATGGATTAGTTCGATTCGCTTCTCAAAAGTGAGTTTACGTAATTAATAACATTGGTTACGATTTTTTTGAATGAAATACATTCTTACTACTAGGGTTTGTGCATACTGCCGAATCTTCATAGTTCACATCATATACTGATGGTTAAACAACCATGGGTAGCCGGTAGACACTAGACAGTTTATATGTCCTCAGGTGGAACGACTTGGCGGTACTTATACATGACCACACGGAGGTCAGACCCAAGGCCTTCGGTTTCGCCGCGAGCATTTAACGTTTATTCTACTGAATCGGAATTCAATGATTTACATGTCTAACTTTAATCGATTCCCGATATTGTAAGACTATATTCCACTACCCAAAGTGACTAATTGTCTATCCAACACGGTTGAACTTCACTAGTCACGGCTCCTTACTAGTTGGACATGTACACTATTGTATACCTACTCGAAAGCATAAAAGTTAAGCTCTTTCGGTGAATCTTAAGTTTCTCATTTCGATCTCCGATAAAGTCGTAGATAGGGGTCGCTGAGAAGTTTTATATCAAGACAAAGCATCTGTCTAGTTAATCATGGTTTCTGTCACTTGTCCATGATGTAAATTATGAAAAGTAAATTGATTAGGTAATCCAAGACATTTGATCATTTTCAGTATTTTTAATTAGCAATCAAAGTTAAAATGTTAGAAAAACGTGTGTTTTAGTGAAACTAACCATCGCTATTATTTTAATAGGAATTCGAGGTGGCTTTTTTCTGGAATATGGATTATAAGTTTTATTCTTCTCAATGAAACTGCAAGTGAATGGATCTGTATTATAATTTTTGCTTCTTTCATAGTAAAACTCGAACCTAGCCAGTATCATGGATTTCACAACACAAACTAAATTCGATTCGATCCTATAGATCATTCGCAATTTATGTCAAAGTCTAATCTGAATTATCATTGTCCATAATTATGTTAATTATATGCATTCATAATTTTCTATTCATTATTAGGTATTCCAATGCAATACGTTCTTTGGGCAATCGATATATTCACTTAACAAATTACTCTATTAATCGTTTAAATTCAGAATACATTAGCAATACAAATGAATTTGCTGCCAAAGGTCATAAGTGGTAAGCTTTTTTATTCAATATCAACTAATACTTGTGTAAATGTACTATTTTTACATTCTGTCATGAATATTGAATTCGAGAAAACTAGGTATTGGGATCAGTCTAAAGTTTTAATGATTAATATTAGTTATTGAAGGTCATGTAATGAGATTTCTACTGCCAAATGTAAATGATGTAACATCAGTATACCTATCCTAAGTACAAGATCATGAAATCGACTTTGATACGATCATTAAGTTTAACATTAGCTCAAAAGAAGGAGAACTTAATTTACAGAGCATAAATCACGACCAATACTTAAAACGAAACGACTAAACTGCCATTTCATTCTGGTATGAGACTTTTGTAGTGTGCATCCATCATCCTCCATCTTACTGAAGAATACTATATTAGGGCAAAATAGCAGTCCAAAGGTTTCAGGTTTTCAGTGATGGTGTGGCTAAGATCAGTTAGTGATTTAAACTATGTAAATTCCACATTCTCTGCTTATACGCCCTTGCATTGATAAAACTTAATTGTTGAACATATTTTGTTTGTCCTACAGTTTTTAGATATTTTACGTTCTTCGACTTTCAATTATCATATCATGTTACGAAACAGATGGATATATTTTTGATTAACAAACAAATTATTGTCTGTAACTAATAGCAGACAATATTGTAGATAATTTTCATCGATAAACGATATACTTTTTTATGTAAATTGATCATATTCATATGCTTCAATATTACGCCTTTATTCAAATTGTGATTTTTTTGTTGTTGCATATAAATTCATTTTGCGTTTCAGGAGTTTACAAGCATTTTGGACATATTTAAAAACAAAAGGTATATCACCTGCACCGATTTGGTCAAATATTAAAGATGTAGTTGTGAAAACTATAATCAGTACAGAGGCTGCTTTTAATACTGCTGTAAATATTTACTGTAATCATTCATTATCTGTACATGAAATATTTGGTTTCGATATATTTCTAGATGAAGATTTACAACCATGGCTACTTGAAGTGAATGTTTCACCAAGGTGAATACTATGATTAGTTAACTGTTTAATTAAACTTCTATCATAATAATTACTAAGTACTTTTTCTTATGTCTACTATAAACCGGTGTATTTTATCCTGTATCATTAATTCGTTTAAATATTTGATTATCAATTAATTTAAAAGCAATATAATGGTAAGAATAGACTTGAACAATTTTTATATCACACCTGTTGCTTGTCTAATTAAAATGAAGTGAGATTCAAACCTGAAGTACAAGGATTGATAACGGAACATCTCTAAACCATTAAGCTATAGATCTACCAATTTTCGATGATTAACGATGAGCCTGTGAACTGTGGTTTCTAGCACAAACGTTTCTAAATCACTAAAATATTTTATATATGTACATGTGAAGTGGTATATATATATATATATATATATATATATATATATATATATAAATGGTACCTAATACAAATACTATTTCTTTTTTATTTCATTTTCACCAAGTATGCATTCAGATTCACCATTAGATGCTAAAATCAAAGGTGGTGTTATTAAAGATATGCTAAATTTATCTGGTCTTCATCTTCCAGAAGCAGTGGAACCATGCTGTCGAACAATTTCTTCATCTTGTTCATTGAAATATGATAGAAATACACCGGATCTATTAACGTATACAAATGATGTTGGATGTAATAATAATAATTCAAGTACAGAAAGTGACAATTCCCTTTCAAAAAATGATAAAATTTCTTATCGTCCAATAAAAAGTGCTGGAGTTGTAGATAATTTAAAAACAAAAAATACTAAATCTGATTTTCAACGTCCTAATACACCTAATCATAGATGGTTAATTGATGAACGCTTATTCATTCAATCTGCTAGTACAGATGAAGAAGAGAAAATGAAATATTTTAAAATACGTGCTTTACAATATGGCTTACCAAGATTAAAACAAATTACATTGAAGAATAATTCAACTATGCTATCATATCAATTTGAAAGAAATGATAGCAAAACATTGATTTCATGTAAATCTTCAGTATCACATAACTCAGATGAAAATAATTCTTCAAGTTCATACACATCAAATGATACAGATAATAAAAAAGAGAGAGTTTGTTCGCCTTGTGCATCAGTTTATGGTACAAATTCTGAAGTTTCGGAATCAAGTAAGTTATATGACCAGATTATATGCATTTTTTCAATGCATATATGTGAACTTATTCACTAGAACTAAAGAAGTAGCAAGGTCTATATTTCAAATAACTGACATCTCTTTCCTCGCCAAAAATGTTCTAAATTTTTGCTCGTCGTACCGATGCCTTTTACATAAAGCTCTGTACTCTACAAGTCTTAAAACATATTAATTGAATGAGTTCTCCAGGTCAGTATTTAGAATACAACTCCATTTTACTTTCGTTGGAGCAGGTGGGTGATACGGCGCTCAGAAAATTACTCAAACATGGCCTAAAGTACAAATGAAGTAGATAAACTCATATCATCCGACTAAAAGTTATGGTCGATTGATGAGTTCCCTCACCGAACAGTGAACGGGTCACTGATACAAACATATCTTACTGTTTCATTCTGCTGTTTTCATGTAGAAATCTCTAAAAGTAAACAACCGTGCATATTTCCATACAATGTGAAAAACTGATATGCTTTCTAGGTTAAAATATTGAGTCTATATTATTTACTATTATTGTAAGCTGTTTTAAGTCACAACTACAATGAAACCTTAATGTTTTTTTTCTTTTCACAGGAGCTTCAAATATTTCTAGAAGTTCACATAAGAATTCAAATAATCCAAATCTACTTATCCCATCGAACACACCGTCTCATGTAATACTTAAAAATGCAACCAATGAAATATTAGATTGTCTTACACCATATGATGTGCGTATACTAATTTCTATGATTGATGAATTCAATAGAGCCGGTGGTTTCCATTGTGTATTTCCACCAAAAACTTCTGGTTTATCCATTAAATATTTATCATTTTTCGAGTCACCTAGATATACAAACTTATTGTGTATAGCTTATTTACAAAAGTATGGTCAAGATAAAGAAAAAGGTTAGTTGTTCTATCGAATTGTATTTCTGATTCAAAATGTCATCAAAACACCATAAGGTTTTTAACACATCCGTTAATGAAACACTGCGTTTTCATCAACTGAGGTTAGTGGGACATTTTTAATGGATATCCAACCACTGACCTGCAATGCTGGCTGATGTAGGCCGTAGCGAGCGCTAAAAAATGTGGTGTTAGTCCATGTAAGCTGCGGAATATGTGTGTAGGCTGTAATGTGTGTACGTGTATAGGGGGAATTCCTGCCATCCATAACCATGTTGCTGAAAGCAGATAAATCTATCGATCTCTCACCATTTTTGTTGCTTCCTCTTAGCCGATGTGACCCCATAATAGGTTCATACTCGGTGCTCTCCATCCGAACATTGGCATTCAGGCCAGTGATAAGGGTGTTTATATGAATTCCTGGGCATTTCTTTATGATGGACTGGAGTTTCTCATTAGACCAGTCTCATATTAAGTTTATAAACAAGTATGCAACTAGTTCTCTTTAAGAGTATGTGTCATCATCATACTCAATGTAGAGTATAACGCGTCGCACATAGGTTGAGGTTGCCATACCACATTACCACAGCTAAATCAAATTATTTCAATACAAACTTCAGTGTTTGCATTCTTACTCCAATCTTTTGAAATAATAGTAATAATGTACTCAGATACTTATAAAGTTGAAGAATATATAATCTATAAGTCATTTTTTTAAATCAGCTTTTAAAAAGTATAGTCATTTCTTATTCACTTTGTTAAGGTATTGAAATGTTGCGGAGAATGTGTGAAAAAGGAATTCATTTGAAATCTTCATTATATCAAGATGAAATTGCTTCTGAACACCATTGGGAAATATATAAGAAGCGTAAATCCACTGTTTTAAGAGAAACAATTAAACGAAAGACATTATCCTCTGAAAATCTATCACAAACTAAAAGTATTCCTAATTCATAACCACATAGCATATGTAAAAAAAAAATTATAAATTCAAGCAAACATTATTCATTCATTTGGTGTATAGATGTGTGAATTATTGTCTCTAATCAAGCACTACGTGGATTCAACAACTTAGGCTATTTATATATAGATAATGTAGCTTTTGTTATTTTTTTTATAACATTTTCATATACAGAGAAATGAACATTTATTCAAATTAGTATTGACGAAGTTTCTTTTAATAGAATTTTTATTGCCTTTTTGTCACTTTCTACCTCACTCTTTTTTATACTTTCTGGTAATTAGATGGACATATAAGTCTTAAGATGTTTATCTTAGTTTTTATCATTATTAAAAAATATACCGAACATTCGATTTTATATTGATGAATATTCTTATTATTTTAGCGTCTTTCTATGGCTTAACAGTTGAACATGTTCACAGAGTTATTAGAATGTGACTTGAATTCATAGATTGTTATTGAATACAAACATCTGAAAACACTCAAATTATGTACTGCATAAAACTTTCTAAGTCTAACTGTATGTTGTTGTTCTAAGAGTTGAGTCCAATAATGTTATTTTAAAGAGCTTTACGCTAGCGTATTTGTTACCTGAGAAATCTCATTACCAACTTAATAACTTCGTATAGATGTTCAGGCTAACAATGAAATATAGCAGGCCTAATCGTGTTTGATATTTAGAATTACATTTTTTTGGACAACGTTCTATGAAGAACTTTAAAGGAAGCATGTGATAGCAGGTTATTATGAGAAATAATGTTGCTTTCCCAAACTAAAGAGCATTGTCATGTGGTAAAATTCAGATGATAAACAGACAGACAGACTAATACAACGCAGAACTTCGTACATCAGTTCAGGTTGCCATACCACCTGAACTGATGTATGGCAAACAGATAACAGTCAACGTTCGTAAGAATTGTATTTATTTTAGATGATTATTGTGATTCAACAAGTTCACGTAGGTAGGTGGTTATAAGCTTCTAAACAGGCATTCATGATTTAAATAACAACCAAATCTGTTGTCTTTCGATCCATTATTTACATTCTAGGTAACGCTACCGATGGATATCAGTTATTTATCACTGAACATGTCCAATCTTACGACCGATTAGGTTTCTAATCTAACAGTGCATCCCAAACCCCTTTGTGTAGTCATCTCGATGTCATCACTTGGTTGCCAAAAGTAAACCAAGTAGAATATGATTCAGACTATGCACTCCTGAAAATACTACACCCTGCTATTATGTGAACGACTGTTAACATCTATTTGGTTGAGTGCTGAAGCATAGACAGAGACCAGATACAGTATCGATAATAAACAGTATACTAGTGACTCCTAATAATGTATGAAACAAGATACAGGACGCTGCTAAAAACCCAGTTTCAGAAGTGCTACTGAGTTGATAATCGGTTCAAGATTTATTATTAATCACCATAAAAATAATGGTTTTCCTTAAATGAGTATTAAGAAGGAGAGTTTTTTAAGTCCCTCTGTAAACTAAGCATCTAAAACTAAATGCAGCAGTATCTAGAACTTGTCAGTGCGTCACAATAATTTTGCACAGTTTAAAAACGATTTAAGATTAGGAAACTTTTGATTGTAAACTCTCAAAAATTAATGTTTGAATGCACATTATATCAACATTCTATCCTCACTTAGCCGTAAGGAAAAAAATGATTTTACTCAGGGATTATTACTATCCTGTTTAAGAAATTCCTCGGCATCCACTGCTACTGAACTCTAAATTTAAAGAGCATGAAATGAAATGCGGGTTTATTAATTGCCTATACTCATCCAGGATAATAGAGAATAACCTGACTAACAGCTCAACTTTTCATAATAGTTACAAAAGTAAACGTTGGTACAACTCCAGTTTGAGGTACATGAAGAAAGTTTTCCATCTGATGCCTACATGACCTAGAACGGCTAAGAAAACACTTTTAACGGGCAAATCTGAATATTTAGCGTAATTGTAGAAAAAAGTGTCAACTTTCATCTGATTAAAAAAAAAAGATCAGTTATAAGGATTTGTTTATTTATAATAAGGTCATGAAATAAGACAAGTTAACATAACATATTACAACTTTTTATATACATTATTAGTGAAGAACAAAATCCACAAAATAAATAAGAATAAGATAAGCTTATCTGAAATATAAAGGATTAAAAGTGACCCAATGGGGTTTTGGCTGGCGTTTAGCCTGTTCGCAAGTATTGAACAACGATTTATAAGCAGAGCTTAAATTAGGATCTTCTTGAATCGATCTACTTGTACTGGACTTTTCTGGTTGGAGTTGTGAGTCTGTTGCAGGTTTTTCAAGTTCTGATGTTTCGGGTTTTATCTTGCCCTCTATTGTTTTATCTTGCACAACTGTCCTTTTGCACGGGACATTATTTTCATCAGCGAGATCTGGTTGTTCAGTGACACGATTAGCTGAAGTTCGTTTGCGAGTCTACAGAAAATAAATTAATATTTAGTGGCATTAGCGAACAGAAAAAATGATAAATGTACTTCAATGTGTACCAAGACGAAATGAATAATAGGAAAAATAAATAGAGAAAAGTACATTTTCATTATAAGGTTGTAGAGATAGTTGAATTACTTTGAAATCATGAATCGACCAACGTTACACCATCATTAGAAACCTGGGGGCACTGGGCGACGGTTGTGTCCTATTATGGGACGTGGGTCGAGGATGCGCACTGCTGACGAGTCCTATACTAGGACGGGACGGTCGTCCACTGTGTCCAGTTTCTAATGGTGGTCTAACATTGGTCAATTCATGATTTTAAAAGTACACTTGTTTGATGAACTGAATATACAGACTACCCAAGGTGAAATTAATGATCTTTCTAATTAATTAAAGCTGGCCTTAAATGACGTTTTATCAACATGACTTTTGCAAGATGAACTGCAATATAGTTTGATCTTAATAGTGATAACCATGGTAGCTGATGAAAAAGTAGCAAGAATGTTAGTTCAGAATTTTGATTATGGATCGTTACCTAGCTTCTATATTGAAAAGACAAAAGCCTTAATAGTTTTGGTTAGTTAGAATATCTAATCTTTACATAGGACTTTTTGCACATTGTCTGGATCGCTTTTCTTTGATGCTGTTCCACTGTTAACCTAGTGTTGGTTGGTTGAAAAGAACACCAACATATCACGCTAAAATTAGGTATAGGATTACATTTTTAATGGAGACTAACTAATTACGGTCGCTCTTAATATCTGCTACGATAAGAAAGTTTAATTTACTGATAACACCAGGTCGGACCACTTCTGAAAATAAAGTCGTTTGCTCAGCGCTGAAAATCGGAAAGGGGATATTGCACGTGTACCCAATATGTGATGAACTATCATAAGAAATAAATCAAATAAATGAACTTTAAATTACCAAAGAGACGATTGATGTATTAGCCTATTTATGTTAACGATATTCGAAAGAACACAGTTCTCTATTTTGCTCTACTGCTTTTGGATAAAAGATTGAAGCTGATAGCCCAGGGGTTCGACCTATTTTAGTGATTTTTGCTATTACTGTATAAATATAACCTCTGCTAAACGTTTTTTTTATTGTGACGTGCTGTTACGTTTTATTGCAAAATACTTTTGTTCCAAGTAAGTGGTTGTGATTGTTTCTGTTCATAAAGAACAAGACTCAGTAATGATGATGTATAATATTTATACTAATACATATAATAATATTTCGATATGCAATTATTGGTCGCTCATCGCATAGGGCGTAGGAAAGACACCGCGATGAAACCTCTTAGGGTTCTACTTAGTAGCTTAGCTGAGAATATATTTTAAGAACAACTAGAAAGACAGGCGGCCATGTACGTCGGCACCTGAACTAGTGATAGGCATTCCTGGATGTACTAATCACCAGAACTAACACAGGAAAACTAGAAACTCAAGTATTTCGGAAGCCAACCCACACCGACGTAATTCTCAACTACGACAGCAACAACCCAAGAACCCACAAGATTAACTGCATACAAACTCTGTTCAAGAGAGCGAAGACACACTGCAGCACATACGAAACATTAAAAAACGAGAAACAACACCTGATGACTATCTTCCAAAAGAACGGCTATCCACGCAACTTCATCAAAAAACATCAACCAAAACCATCATCAGAAGTGAAATCAAGCACAGGAACAAATAAACGCACCATCCTACCATACATCAAAGACATATCGGAACATACGGCACGACTACTGAAACCATTTGGAATAGGTGTGGCACACAAACCAACAGAATCACTTCAGTCAATTCTATGTAGACCAAAGGACAAAATGACAAAGGAAGAAAAACCAAATATCATCTACAAAATGAATTGCTCAAACTGTGAAAAACACTACATAGGAGAAAGTGGACGACCTCTTCAGCTCCGTTTACGTGAACATCAATTAGCAGTCAAACGCCACGACAACGCTTCGCTTATCTCAATACATACCGACAACTATGGACACACATTTGATTGGAACAACGTGGAAATACTGGGTAGGGGGAGGACAAAGAACACTAGAGAATTTTTAGAAGCTTGGCACTCAGGTCAATTAGCAATCAACAAACACATCGACATTGACCCAATTTATCAACCAATCAGGAGAATCATAGGTGACACTGGATCAAGAAACAGATCAAAAGAGGGAGGCAATCAAAACATAGTTGCAAACAACGACAGGTCAAAGGTCAACAACAACCAATCAAGATCGAGGTTAGCAGAACAAGCTACAGGTCAAACGTGGAGAAATTCGAATGCTCCACTTCTATCTGAAGTTCGTGCTGATGATGTTGTTCAGAAGAACAATGAAAGCTCCACAACCAAAACAACCAGCTCAGAGAACGAAACACCACCACAATGATAGGCATTTATCTCATTAGATTATACACTTTGAATAACATCTCCAAACCTTAATCTTTCTGATTACTGTTCATACTTCTACTGCCTCTACCACTATGGGGTTTGAAGTGACAGTTGCGTCTCTATGCTAATGTGTTATGTGTTACGTACGTTGTTGCTAACTGACTGAAAGAATAAAGCTCTATAAGTTAGAACCGCTTTCACTAGTTTCATCACCTGAAGGAGCAGAGGAAACTTTAAGTCAGTCAAAATCAACATACGATCTAGTACAAACGTATCTCAAATCAAAGGGATAGGTTCGTACAATAAAAAGAATTCAGAACAGAATGGAGAATAGTATTTGCAAATTCAAGTGCTTTAGATAGTTCACATGATTGATACTTTTCAACTATCTACATCATCTAAGGATATTTTAAGAGAACATGGTCTGAAGTTCAGAGAGCAACAATTTTTAACCCCCAACTTGTCTGAATTATGAAGTAAACAAACAAACGAACATAATGCAATATATGGAACAAATCAATACCGGTTTGAATTGACACGACTAAATCCACAGTATAGTAAGTGAAGTCGAAACCTCAGTGAGAAAATAAAAAGTAGAAAGACATTTTGAGAGAAGTCATAAGTAAAGTGGAGCAAATGATTTTGTGAGATGAAAAGTATGGAACAATAACAAACACAATATTAGATGAACATAAAGTAATACTAATCTCTTAAATAACCTGTATGATTCTTCTTCCAGCATGTAAACTTACCCTTGGCTACAGATTATCACTGTAAAAACACTGCAATTTACAAACAAAAAACATTTGACAACTAAATTCACCCCGGTAATTAGCAGTTTTACGAACTCAAGTGTTAACCAGATCAGAGCAAGAAACTATCACTTTACACAGAGCAAAGTAAATACAGATCGGTTCGGATCTGCATGGCCAGAGATTAAAGTTGTTATTCAATCGCTAAACAACTCGATGACAACAAATAACCATAGCTTGACTAAGTTATAAACACATTTTATCTATGAACATAACATTATTCATTGATGTCATTTCATGAAGCAAAACGATAAGATCAAAATTCATACCTTAGACGCTGTCTGAAAACTGATCAACCGTGTTTGGGCAGCTTCGATTTCACTCTTAGTCTGAGGATTTATTAAGATAATGTCATCCGCAGAAAATGACGTACCACACTGAAAAACAAAAAAGAATGCACAGATTTTTAACGAAACGTAAATTAGTTAACATACGTCCAAAATACCATCTTCCATTAATATACTTTAAACCTATCACAGAATATCAATTTAATATCATTAAGACTTAATTCTAAGAAGGTCAAGTAAAAACTGAGGTAGTGGTTATGTTAGACAGAACCTCGCGTGTCATATTGCAAAGTTAACTCCAACAAACAAGCAAAGAAGAAATTCACTGAGGTGTATATTACATCAAAAACAGATCAAAAACCAGTAAGTATGTAGGCTACTGCTGTGTATTGGTTTAGCAACTCGACGCTTAAATCTAAGTAATGTCACACACATAGTTGGAATATATGTATATATAATATAAGTGTAGCACTTGGTTTTTCTTTTTTTATACTAAACTACTGATGCTGTTACTATTTCTACTTCTCTGATTTATTTTGGTAATTTTATATGTGGAAATATGGTGCACATACATATCAGGTCCTACGTTGCACATGACTGACTTCATGATTCAGAAGTGCATGTTCACTTTAACATACAGACGGATATAAAAACATGGAAGCCCACATAAAAGTTCACAGTCTTGTTGTCACGTTTAGACTAGCACTGAACAAGAAAACCATCGAAAATAGTAAAGAATTTACATTTATGAGATGTGAAGAAATAACAGGTATCAAAATATTTATGACAGATTACATAAAATGAATGGATTTGTGTAAATGCAACCTTAAATTGATAACAAGGGTCCTGAAACACTGAGTGCTACTAGCTCGCTGTCACAATGGCCGAAGGTTATGGCCTCACAGTCAGGTTATAATTGATTGGGGAATAAGTGACCTGTAAGCTAATTCCTTCCAAACGACCATGAAATTTCATGTTAATTTGATATTCATATTTTGTGTCCAATCATCTTACTTTAGAAAATGTAAACTATGTATTTGGCTGGTGGTCTTGTCTTTTATTGATAATCAGAAACCTAGACCAATCAAATCGAAAAAACCTCCATTACACTTACAGAAGCTTGACAGGGCATTATCATCTGCTTCGCTTACGATAGGTTTTCATTAAAGCGTAAACAATTATAACTTTGAATTCAGTACATTTAGTAACAACATAACAATTTAAATTATTCTGCTAATTTAGGAAATATTGTGGAGCGGTGGTTAGGTCATTCGATTTTCGGCCACAAAACCACGTCCAAACCCGGTTACACATGCTTCGGTATGAGTGACCGGGTGGTTTCACTAGTGTGGCTCATAACCACCTAAAGGATGAACCAACTATTACTGTTGTTGATACTATTATTGTTATTATGCAAAATGTACTGTCTTAATGGAAACCAAGGAAAGCAGTTTGTATAAAGTGCGAACAAGTACGTCAACCTTTATAACTAAATTGAAGACCTGATTATAACCAGAGAACTCTGGTCTATGAAGGCTTAATAACTGCTACAGAACTTCGATAGCAAATAACGACAAAATGTGGGACTCCTGGATGAATAATAATCAAATTAGGTCTTCTATGCACTTCCATATAAGCTACAGTAACAGAAAATCAGACCTTAGTGAAAACACTATCATATAGCCTTAACTCCATTTCAAAATTTATTACAATTTACACCAACGACTTGAAGACTTAACTAAAAACCTAAGGTCATGCACTGTTCACTTTAATCAACTATATATAATCCTCGGATGTTGGTTTTTAAGCATAAAGATACAGAATCAGAAACCAAACTAATGGTGGTGCTTTGTTTTATACAACTTGTACATGTTAACTGAGTTGAGACAAAAACTGAGTACCATTAGAAACCTGGAAGCACTGGTGGTCTAGCTTTGATCAATTCATCATTTCAATGAGTGACTTAACATTCTCCAAAACCCCATAATCCAAAAAATGAGTAATCAGCGAACTATAGCAACCTAGAATATGAAGGAGCTTTTCAATCTGAGCCCAAGAAGACGTGTCTAGAATGTTCCTGAATTATATAGAGAGACGGTTAACACTATACCAAAATGGTTCACAAGGAAGAAATCATTTTGTGCACAAGTTTTGAAATACGTGGTGCCTTACCGTCATACACAGGTTGCTACTAACTTCCGTAAGAGCTTTCTTGGAAAACACACAGCCACAACTCCACAGAAAAACAAAAGGATAGACCCCTGACATTTCCAGACCGGTTACTGGGCAGTAAAACAGTGGAGTTTCTTGACTATCTGAACAGGATGTTGAAGTTAAGCGTAGCTCCTTTACATCTCTTAACTTCTTTATATGATCCGAGAATCCATCTCCGCTTGATTTGCTTAAAAGTTTGTTGATAATCGATTCTTTGTTGTAAAGCCTTAACATTTGAAAACTGTATTGCAATTTACCTTCCCAGTATGCAAGAAACAACAGGTTGACGAAGAGGATCTTGTGTAAGTGCACAGTGTTTCCAAAGAGCCATATTAGCTGCTTCACGTTCAGCAACCTCTTGTTTTTTCTTGGGCTTAACAAGATCATCGCGTCGAGGGATACTACCGCCGTCTCCTCCCATTAGAAGATCCTTAAAAATTGCGCGTTAACGAGGACAACTAAATCCAATACCTTCGTATAGAGATAGTTTGGTTCATATGCTTGTGAACTTGTTAAAGTAAGCTTTGGCTAGATGTGCTTTCATGTCTAGTAGCGGTGGTTCACGAAATTACTGAGTGATCGACGAATGTTCTAATATTCAATGTCTAGATCACTGATTCTTCTACACTCGCTTCTAATTGTTTCGGAACTGTTTTAGGTATTTATTGTCTCAACTGCATGATGATCTGACCACTCGAATACACTAGTGATAGTCAACTGACAGTTGGTTTTGAAACTGTTCTCTGATTAATGCTTTTGTCTCAAGTCAATGTGTCTCTGGATACCATCAGCTATCACATCACCAGCCTAGAGATTAGTTAATCGCAATATGATAATAAGAGGATAATATTCATGCTAATAAGATGAAAATTCCAGAACTACGTATATAATTAAAAAAGTCAACTATTTAGCTATAAAGTTCGTGTGAGACGACAGACGCGGAAGTAGAGAAGCGGAAACAGAAATAATGAGCAAAATAGATTAATTTAGTCACCTGAATAAATTACAGTAATAACAACTAGCAACTTTCGAAACATACATCAGACAAAGCTGGTCCAATATGTAGTCGATAGTCCGCATATGATTACATGCTTCTCTAGTCGCTTCTCCAAGCTATCTATTGAAAAGGCTTTAGTTACTGTAGCTTCGAGAGCATCCCAAGAGGGAACAACTCTTAATGAGTAAAAAACGGTAACTAATCTGGATTTTTGTTCTCTGACGTGATATTTTCTGAGGGCTACATTGAGGAGCGTAGTGGTGATGTTCTGACTACTTCTAAACTGATTTGATAGATCTTTCTTTCTTGTGGCTTCCACTTGAATCAAAAGCCATCTAAAAAATTGCTCCAGTCTGTCATTTACTGTTTACTACTTTTCACGATAAAACTAAATTTTTAACATTTTCAATACATATAACACCCATGTCTATCCTCTTAAACGCTTTCTCTAATTTCACACACGTTTATGAAATCGCAGAAGTGATAGATAGATAGATAGATTTCCTTGTCTCGATCCGACCCATTCTATACTTTAGAGAAGCTGCCTTTTTCTTGGTAACACAATTAAGCATGCTTCTTACAATTGTCCAGTCCGAATGTGATCCAAGACAGCTGAGAGATGGCACCGACTGCACCAAATTTTAATGGCAATCAACAGATCCTAGGAGGCCAAATATCAGCAGTTTATTCAGCATATTCAAAGGTTATAGAATGCAAAATTTATGTCTGCCGATGAAACCAATTTTTCCACTAACGTTGACTTATCCTAGCACATGGTTTCTAAGACCCGCTCCTCTATAACAAAACTATTGGCTTTGGCAGATTCATAAACCACTAACCTAGATTGTAACAGTAAGTTAAATTTAATGTACCTAGATTTTTCAGCCCTGTTTGGATAATTTCTGCCATATGCATACTGTCTTAAAGCTCACCCTGATCGACAATCAGTTGTATCTAAGTAATCGACTTTTTAAGACTGAAGTAATTTTCTCAATTCGATAGGCTACACACAGTCCCAGTATGAGAGTCTCTGTATCGAACGATTTAAAAAAATTCTTTTCGAATGATCCTTGCAGTGGTTAACTTTGAAGTTCATTTTGGTCAACTTGATGAAAGCCCAGTAAAAACTCCCTTCCTCTTCAGAAAATGGCTGTCCTTGTTGCTTTAACGGTTTATCTACTTGATATTCTGTGGGTTGATTGAACTTATTTTCTTTGTACTTAATCCTGTTACCCTATTATCAGCTAGTATATTCTTCTATGTTCTTTAGCGATTTATCTACTGAGTGCATCAAACAATTTACTGTATGATTTCTCAGTAACATTTCATCCTCTGTATAGCCTAGGGACACCAGTCTTCGAGACACTGCATAATTTATATACATAATCATATTAAAAAATTCTGAGTCACTCCTCGACAGTTGTTTTTCACGTCATAAAGAATGATGAAATACTAACCCGTCACGATGGATTTTCAGAAATCCGAATTAATGACTCTGAGTTCTTCATACCTTAAGGAATACAAACCAAGTATTTATGAAATTTAGTTGTCTTTTAGTGAATACCTCCCAAGGCAATTAATGATGTCAGCATTTGATAATCACTTCACGCTGTTGAATACACGTACTATCTGATTGCGCCATAGTGTCTCCAAAAGTAAACTTCCAATAGTTGCTACAAGTGTCAAGGTTTTCTTTTAACCAAGAGCCACGTTAATGCCTCCACTGCATACTCGGAAGATAACATGGATATAAGAAATATGGATTATATCATTTCATCTGAGAGGATTGTCATGTACTTTCCAACTATCATTTCCTGTTCGCTTCAATAGCATCAATGTCTTCTTGAAGTTCACTTGTACCTTCACATTCGCTGTCGCCGACTAGTGTTGATAGGCTGTACATAATTGATCTTTATACAAACTGTTCTCACGTTCTTGGCGAAAGCGGAAAATATTCTGTCAAACCATTTAATTCGCGAAGAATTCACACTTCGTTCGTGAATTTAAGAGAAGTGTTTTTAAATTTCTGGGGTATGTGTACCTGGTTAAATTCCAGAATAATCATCTTTATGTTAGTTGGTTTGGCTAGACTTTGGGTCGAGACCCAGTTATTTGGAGGAGACACTGCATGACTCCCATCACGTTTTTAACATCACTCACGCTGAATCTGAGTCAGCTAAACTTTGGTGGTTCCACAAATGTCTATGATATAACGCTGCAGATTTGTAGTGCCAATGAAAATAAAGTATCACTCCTGTATCTATCTTAAGTTACTTGCCTTCCTCAAAAAGCATCATAGCTCGCATTATCAATCCATTACTGGCGATATTTGAGTAGTGCCAGGTCTTCATTTTATAGCGATATTTAGTTCTCGATGAGTTCATAATAATCGTCGGACCTCCCCTACTTGCCTTTCAACTGTAGCGTGGGTTACTATCTTCGATATTGATGCTTTTGCGACTGTCTCCTGATATATAATTACATATTTTCTACGTCGTTTTTAGCTGAGCGAAATCCTTGGTAGAAAGACATATCGGTGTGACGTTTTTGACCCAGAGCAAAACATTTATTTGAAGTCTATCATATTATGGTATAACTTAGGCTGCTGATCATCGAAAAATTCCGCGCTTTCCAACAAACAGAATGATTAGGTTGATCATCAGAGAATATTAAGGAACTGTGTCATAAATCTATCTCTTTTCTCGTTTTTTTATATATGGTCTACTTGTCGTCTAAATGATCACGAGAAACAATTTCTGAAGGTTCCCTTTCTCCGCCCTCGATCTCTGCTAAAGAGGGATTGGAACCTGTTGTTTTGATGTTTACAACTAAATTCCCTGTTTGTTGGAAATAGCATAAACAATTTCAAGATGCCACGATGTTAAGTCAGTATAGACACCGTCTCTGGATCATCTCTTATGACAGATCTAATTACAGGATTTTCTCTAGAGAACGTAATAATCCCAATTTCAAGAGCATCCGATTACGAGAAGTCTACAAATAGGTATAAAATTTGAAACCACATTGATCGAAAATTCCATAAGTATTAAAAGATGCTCCACTAAAGAAGCTTTCAGTGTGGTTTTCAAAATATCATATGACTGGATCAGTGATGACAACATTCATGGCACGAAATGAAAGTATTTTAATTAGAAGTTGTAATCTGATGTTCTTAGCACAAATAAAGGAGAAAGTAGTTAGCTCAGAGATCTTCAGTACATTGGAATATAGGAATCAATGCACAAGTATTAGTATACTAAGATAAAAAGAGATGGCTCCATGCACAGCGCTAGGGTTTGGATGCTTTGCTTTGCAAAACGCAAGCTCCTTTTACATGTGCTAATACAGCAGGCATCAGCAACTACACTTCAAACAATGTACAGGTAAACAATTCTTAATTTAGCTCCTTTTGAAAAATTCCATTATTTTATTAAGTAGTGAGTTTTTAATTGTATGCCGAATCTCAGGAACTTTCTTCGTGTTACAATCCCTTCCTAAGGAGATCAGTGGTTAACAATTGCCAGGTACTTTTCTGCTTTGATTTTCACCACCTGAAACATATTTTTACGATTTCTAATCACAGTTTTATCGGGATAGAACGTGCTTTTGGAATATATCTAGGATATGTGGAAAGACAGTGGACCTATTGGATAATGTACATCCTAAGCCTTAGTTCAGGCGCCACATTCAGTTTTGGTAGATTCTCACGCTGATTTGTGTTTCTGAATATGGTTAGGCTAAACGTGCTTGCTGACGCCCTAAAATCAATATGCAACGCCGAAAGAAGGAAAAAGCGTCAAGTACTTATTCGGCCATCATCAAAAGTTATTGTTCGGTTTCTAAGAGTGATGCAACGAAAGGGTTATATCGGGGAATTCGAAATTGTTGACGACCATCGCTCTGGAAAGATCGTTGTTCAGTTAAATGGACGTCTTAATAAATGTGGTGTAATCAGTCCTCGATTCGACATGGGCGTGCGGGAAACTGAAAAATGGACTAGGAACTTATTACCTTCTCGGCAATTTGGGTAAGATACAACTTGATAGCATTCACTTTTCAGTTACCTGGTGCTTACCACAAGTAGTGGAATTATGGATCATGAAGAAGCTCATCGGAAACACCTGGGTGGTAAACTTCTTGGATTTTTCTTCTAAATAAAACTTGTATAAAGGAAAAATTCTTCTCAGAGTTTAATAAAATTGAAACTATGTCCATAAGCTCACGTTAACACTGTGGTAATTGTCCTAGATGTACGGTCAGTGTTCAGGAACGATTTTTTCCGTCTCAACGCATATTTAGTTTAATTCTTGTAAGAGCGACTGTTGAATATCATTAGGACAATACTAATGGTATATTTACCACAATTTCTGAGTATACCGCGTGCAAGTTCTATACGAGTTATACATTCATGACCTTTAATGTTCAAATTAAACATAAAATTTATTAGCTCACTGTCAGTTATAAATTTTTTGGCGTAGCGAATTAACTGTAACCAATACAGAGGTGTCTTTGCCTAGTAAGTATGTTGTATGCCTGCTTTTTACGCTAGTTGTGGTACTCATTCCTTCGGAACAACGTTTGCGAAGCTGAATTTAGTCCTAGGGTTATCATTCAAGTGGTTCCTCAGTATGAATTCTCACCCAGTTTCGTGTCGCTCGTTAACATATGTATATGGATTCCAGATTGAAAGGATTTATTATAGTATCATGGTATTTTGTCATCGAAGTTGACTGCATGTTTCAGTGTAGTTTGCTTTGAGTTTATGCACTTGCACCCATCACCAGTGTTAATCGTTTGGTAGGGTTATGTTTTCCATAGCATGATCTCTGAGTGTACTGCACCTCGATGCTAGGATTTATAATCGGCTCCATTGACGCAGATTTCCAATGTAAATCCCTTTAAGTACTATCGTAAGGTTAAACTTACACGCCTAAGCTTATTATAGTCACAACATGTAGGTCAAACCGTGTAACGACCCGCACTTGTCATCTTTTTCATTGGTAATTTTTACTATTAATTTTCAGTTGTCGTCACATGAGTTTAGGTGTTTGTGATTCTTGGAGCAAGTGGTATTGGTCTATCACTCTAATTATTCACAACTGGAGAACTGAAATTCTCCTTTTGTAGTGTGACAGGCTACAGCAGGTATACCGATTTCACCCTTTATAAAGCAACCTATGATTCAGGATGTAGACTACTAAGAATGACCACGTCAAAGTGTTCCAATTCTTACTTCACTATGGAGTAACTCGTCTGCCTCAGGTATGATGTCTGTTTACTGAGACATAAATAACACCAGTAAAAATATTTCCGGGACTAGTGTAACAACCGTTGTTGAAAGTCATTGTTATTTGTGCATTTTAGTATCTTTAATACTTCCCATTAACTGTTACACCCTCAATCTTAAATATTTGTCTAGAGATCGAATGAGTGCACACTAGCTTTGGTCCTTGTACTAATTCACATCCGACATCCTGGTCAATTAACGGCAATTCATTAACTTAGTTTGGACTGTTCAAATTTATTTCCTCAATGAAAACATCGCAGTTACCTGTGAGCTGTTTATTTGAGGCATCTGTTAGAAACTAGGAGGTTGGCTTTAAATTAGTATTCTGTAGTGACATCCAAACAAAAAACATGTAACCAGTCGCTTCCGATGTGAATGATTTTCGCACTAACTATTTATACTGTTATTGACATTTTTAGATAGTGCCACTGCAAATTCTGTTAGCCTGCCATTAGTAAATGTGACACTTCTGTGGATAATAGTGAATCATTTGTATGAATTACTTTAGTCGCCTCTACATGCTATTCAGTTTAGCTCTTACTTTACTCACAATGTGCGGCCGCCAGAACGATCTATAAAAATCAGTCGCTACAGTAACTTATTAATACAAGTTGAATATTTATCCATCTAACTGATTGACGACTATATATATTGCAACCTTGATCCATATAACTTTAAATCTGGCGGTTCATAGTTATTCCTACTGGTGACTAAACCAGCATAATAGAGACGGCACTCCCAGGGCCCAGTGATTTTCCAGTAAAATCGGTATTAGGTGGAGTCGATCCACCAAATGCCCACATCAGTCAGTCAGTTGCAATGTAGAACTTCGTACGTATGTACATAAGTTCATGTTGCCATACCACATTAGCACAGAGACGCTAATGTCAAATCACATCCCATAGTGATAAATATAGTAGAGGTATTAATAGTAATGAAGAAGACTAGGATTTGAAGATATTATTCAAGAAGTATCAATCAGTAAGATAAGGTTAGAAAGACAGGTAGAGGTGCTGACGGATCCAGAATATTAGGATTTGAGAGAACACAAATAATAAATGCACCGGCGCCATTGCAAACGATTTTGAGCCATGTTCAAGATCTCTAACCATTGATGACTTTCGTCTCACCCCAACCAGGTAGCCTACAGCAACCAACATGACTCAGTCCACTTGTCAGTGACTTCGTGGATTTCTGCCATGTTTTGGTCTGGCCGCCCCTAGTTTTCTTCCAACCTATTCCTATACCACAAAACATAGCTCGTCGAGGCAGTCGGTGGTTAGGCATTCGTAACACATGTCCCGACCACCTCAACTGATGAAGTTTCAGTGCTTTGTCTATTGATTTACCATCCTTACCTAAAACTCGTTTCCTAACAACAGCATTGCTTACTCGGTTGTCCCACGATATACGAGCAATGCTTCGAAGACATCTATGATAGAAGACTAGTAACTTACGAACATCTACTCTTAACGGCCATGTTTCGCATCCATATAGGAGAACGGAGCGAACGGCTGCGCAGTATACTCGTCCTTTGGTTAGCGAACGGATATCTCGCCTACACCATAGACGGCGTAAATTGGCAAAAGCCAATCGAGCTGTGTCCGCGCTGAGATTTCGTTAGTCACTAGGCTATCAGCGCTGATGAGGCTCCCCAGATAAGTGAAGTGATCAATACACTCGACTACTTCACTCCCTATCACTAGTTAAGGTGCTGATGCAACCCAGTCTTGAAGCAATATTCTGCATTTTGAGGTGGAAAACCGAATCCCGAAAGTGCTTGCATTGTTGTCAGTCTTCCCCGAGTAGGACTGTCATCGGCATATTCTAGGTCAGCGAGCGATTTTGCTGGTAGAAGGTTTACTCCTAGAAATTCGGACGAAGACAATGTTATATCTAGCAGCATGTCTATGAAGAAATGAAACAAGAATGGGGAGAGTGGACATCCCTGACTGACACCACTTGAAGTCAAGAATTCCGACGACAGTCTGCCATAAGCTCTCACTCGACCAGTGGTGTTCGAGTAGAGAGCTTGTATAAGGTGAATGTACTTCTCTGGTACACCTTTCAATGACAGACACTGCCACAGAACCTCACGATCCACAGAGTCGAATGCCGCTTTTAGGTCCAGGAAGACAACTATTGTAGGACGTCTAAATGTGCATCTGTGTTCCAGGACCTGTCGTAGTGTGAAAATGTCTATACAGCCACGTCCAGGTCTGAAACCAGCTTGGTTTTCTCTAGCCTGCTCTTCACGAGCTCTAGTTAGACGTCTAAGTATAATGGAGGCTAACAATTTAGACACTATATTAGTTAGACTTATTCCCCTGTGATAGTCACAAGAGGACTTTTGTCCTTTCTTGTAGATCGGGAAAATAAGTGACTGAGACCAGTCGGATAGGATTACGTCCAGTTCCCAGATCCTACCCAAGATCTCAGTCAACCTAGCTGCTAAAACTGGACCACCCTCCCTAAATATCTCAGGGGTAAGCCTATCAGGACCTGCTGCTCTACCTCCCTTTAGATTTCCTATAGCTTTCTTAACTTGATGTAGACTGGGAGGACTTAAATCGATTTGCCATTCAGGATGACTGGAGATCGTGGGCTACCGAAGTGTTGCTTGAAGACCAGTTGAACTGATCCCTGAATTGTTCTGCTCATCGATCCAGTCTCCTGGATTGAGAATGAATAATAGTCCGATTATTTTCCGAGATAGTCTCACTCACATTCGGATTCCTAATACCGGTTTTTTTAATAACGCGGAAAAGTTGTCTAGTGTTGCCTATCGCCGCTGCCTTTTCCATCGCTTTTGCTTTCGCCACCCACCACTGTTCGCGGTCATTGCGTAGGCTCGTTATCAGTCTGCGCCTAAGCTGACTTCGCTCTTAGTCATGTTCAGAGTCAGGTGGGATGTGTTTCCAAGCATCCATCATTTCGGGGGATGCGACTGAAATCCAGGCTTCATCCTAGCCTTATGGTTTACCTTGCTAGCAGATATCACTGCTGTTTCCACAGCCTTTTTGATATCACTCCAACCTGCCTACGGATGAGAATCACTTGCATGGTCGCTCACTGTTTTTCTAGTTCCTCCTGAAATATTTTCTTAGCTTGATTACCATTAAGTAAAACCCTAAGAGGTTTTCTTGCGATATTTTTCTGGCGTCCAGTAAGGCGCAAACAAATACGCGCTCGCACTAGAGAATGATCTGAATCTAAACATGTGCCCCAGAACAAGCGACAGTCCTCTATCGAACCCCTCCACCTGTGGCTGATGGCGATGTGATCTAGTTGGGTCCAACGTTGAGACGACTTCGGGGGTCGCCAGGTCAAAAGATGTTTTTCCTTATGTTTAAAATCAGTGTTTGCTAGAAATAGGCGGTTATCTGAGCACAGTTGCAACAGACGGTCGCCACTGTCCGTTCTTTGAGCCGCGAGACCATAACATCCACCTAGGTGTCTTTCATTTTCACTTAGTCTAACTACCCTGAGCATTGAAGTCACCAGCCATTATTACTATATCGGAACGCCTAACGTTTTGGAGGAGGTCCGAGAGCTTTCTTTAGAACTCATCTTTCACCTCGTGTGAACTGCAGTCAGTGGGGGCATAGGCAGATACGACGAACAGGCAACGACGGGTGTCCCTATCTTTCCGAGTCCTTACTGTCCCGTCCAGTCGGACGACGCACAAGCGACTATCTACAGGGATCCAGTCAAGGAGAGATTGTTCAGCTCTACGACTCAATGCTATACCTACACCAGCGAGACCCCGGGAAGCAGCATCAGGGCTACCAGATACACGAAGAGTAAATCGAGGTGCTTCTTTATCTTTACATGGTGAGGTCGAGTGAATGATGCTACTTGGATTCTGTATGCGCGTTTTGGAGACGATGCACTTATCGACTGAGCGAGATTCTAATGTCCTGGCTAACGAAGCCTGTTGCCCTATTTGACATAATGTACGTACATTAAATGCTCCAACATGTAGTCTAGAACGGGGTTTCAGGAGACCAGAAATGACGTTTCGTGAACTCGCATTGTTTGCATTAGCTGTGCAGTGTGATAAAGGATTGTGAGAAGAGTTAGTCGTGGAGATAAGAGAGGTGTGTGTTGGTGTAGGAAGGATTTGATTTCGACCAATTTGGTCTCGTGTGTTGTTACGGGTATGAGGGCGGTTGTCACTTCCCGGCTGCCCACTCCGTGAAAGGGTGTTTCTTGAGGAACCTGGAAAGGAAGATAGATTAGTGTTGGTCCTAGAGACCTGGTTGCGTGACCGCAGAGTCCAAGGGATAACTGCTTGAGACCAGTCACGCACGGCCTTTTTATGAAGGGTTTTTTGAGTATTAGCTCCGCTCTTGAAAGCCCTTAGTGGGCACCCTTACCTCCGGAGACGGAAATCCATGAGGTAGGGTGTGTGACATTTTTAGGGTCGGCCTTTCCTAACCCTTCATTCCTTGTGAGAAGGCAGCATCGCTGCAGATGCTGGTTATCCGAGGGAAACAACTTACTGCTGTCATACCCCTCTGCAGTCAGCAGTACGACTTCGCCCTCAGACCTTGAGTAGCTGCTTTTAGTCTGATCGTTCTGCAACCAACCTGCCTGGCATGGTAGAACCTACAGGAACATATGTTCGAGACAATATAGCTCGGTTGGGTCATCACGATAGGCAAGCCCGACTATCATATCAAGGTAGTAGCCTCGGTCGGGGAATTGCCCGTATAGTTTCAAAAAAATTCCTGAGTTCTATCTCCAGACAGTAGGCGTGTCTTCTGAAGGGAATACCCAGGGCGTATATGCAATTAGCTGATACGAAGGACTTTCTTAGGGAAACTAACAATTCCGGGTCCTTTTATGAAGGTCGGCTTGGGTCCTAAGATCCGAAAAGTAGCTTGTTGACCTACTCTCAATAATACCCTACATGAGATTGAAATTTCCGTTGTTGTACTTGCGTGTTAGTTCTCTAGGTCATACGCTTGGAGAGTCGAACCTCCTAAGAAAGCTGTTTGTTTCGATGTGAGCTTTTTGTTAGCATCTGAGCTGATACGCGTTGGAACAAGTACCAATGTATACCCACCGGCTCCTTTACAGTATTACTATTGCACTTTGTGTATGGCATTTTTTAGACGGAATATTTTAACAAGCTCCGTGTTATCAGTAACAAAATAAAACTACTTGTGAACCCATTTTCCAACAATAAATCAATGGGTAGACTTTCCAACTTTTGATAAATAACCTCTGCTCTTCACTAGCTATTTCGTTTATTCTCAAGAGTTTGTATTCATTCATATTGTTCAACACGCTCTTATTCAGTGAACAGTGGCAGGTCAGTGTGTCCAAACACCGCTTTGAACCATTCTTATGGAATTAAAACTCATCAATGATCAGTTATTTTGCACACATATACAGTGTGAGCTAATTACCAAACAACTCCGGAAGCATCCATTTCCTTATCCTAGACTATAAAAGAACATTTGTTGATTTATTTATAAATCCCCGATAAACAATCTAGTTACATTGCCCCCAAGATCATTGATTTCCATTGTCTTACTACTCGACAGATAGTTTCGCTACGTAACATCAATAAGACGGACACGGACTGGTTACACTTTCATCATTTTATAAAATAATCCTTTGGTATTGCAATCACAAGAATATTTATACACCAGCATACATAAATGAAACACATTTCCCAGTACTATCGAAAATAAACTAGGTTAATCTTGAGTTTTACTCACTTCTTGATATGATAAATGTAGTGCTTCTTAAGATCAAGGACATTACAAAAAAACCGAGTAAGTTAACGATTCTAAATATATCTTTATATTATAAAGATTTCATTAGACAGAATTGATATTAATTCATCTACTGCACCTCTATAAAAAAAAATGTTGAAAATTCATGTACATTTAACATAAAACAAAAGCTAGTGAAACAAAGGAAAATAAATTTATTTGGAACGTTAGTAGAGATTAATAGACATCGATGTAGATGTTTCATCTTACTAACATCTCTGAGATAATAAATATGATACAGTAGAGTAAAAAAAAATCAGTAACATATATCATATAACAAACAATAGTGTTTGGAAATTTATACGAGTTGATCATGAATGCATTAAATTTAACAATAAATTTTGTACAAAGAAGATAATGGAAACTTTTTTTTTACAAGGTAAAAACAGCAATATCTGTTGACTTTCCGTCTGTATAAGGATATGGTCTCCCGTGAACTTTACATATATGCTCTACAGCTCGGCGATAAGCTTTTGTTACCTGATAAATATGTATGAATTAAAATTATATAGTATTTGAAAAAAGTAGAATTCAACTTATAAAACAGCCTAACGTTTTGTAACCTAAGTAGCAGGACATGACGATGTGTCATAAATGTCTATCCGTTCAAGTTGGTAAACAAAATGCCCTGTTTTGCTATCATCTGTGTTCATTTCTCCGTGTGAATTCAATGTGTGATCCCAATAATATATATATTATTATAAATTCATTTAAAAGACCACTTAAATAAGTTACATGTATCCTAGAATGAAAGATTTTCTAATCCAATACAGAATCTATCGCAAAATTATGAGATAGCCACTGACAGCCCTTTACTACCAAATTATCACGTGATAACATCCAAAATATTGCGCCAATATAATTAATATTACCTGTATCTTACTTGAATCAATGTAAATAAAAATGTTTCACTCGATCAGTTCTTCTACACTACGGACCTACTGAAATGTCTCAGCTATGTAGCCAAGACTTTCCGTGAGCCTACTTAATCTCGAAAATCACAGTAATGTCGACGGAGTCATGGAATTACTTACTGTGGTGATGTACAGAATTTCGGAGTTAAGATACAAGAGTAGATTAGAGGAATTAGTGTAATTTTCAATTCTATGATAAGTGTCATATGGTAAGCGAAATTCTTTTGATTTAATGTTAAGTTATGAATTACTTCATTGTCTTTATTACCTGCAGGAATATCTATTTTTATTGTAGCAGTTATTTTGCGGACAAATATTTAAAAGTGTGGTAATTAGAATAATGTATTGTTGCACTGGTCTCTACAATGGTTAATAAGTAGAATGGCTTGTGAAATAATGACACTATATCACGCTAATTTGATGACATCGGGTTAGCGAAATCGGAGATCATATATTTTTAATAGCATAGCCTATAACTGTTAATCACGACACAAATGAAACCAATTTTTATTTTCATCTACAACATATGCCTTGTTTGCTTATCATCAAATTATGACGTTGTTTAACAGTGAGAAAGTTGGATTATATTTAATTTCATTATCAAGTTAGTAAATCAACTTAGAAATTCATTGGCAATAGTTGATTATCTCTGAAAAGCATATAATAAATAATCAGATTTATTTACATAATAACAACTAATTATTAACTTACTGAATGCTTCATTTTACTTCTTCTTCCTTCTCGTAGTCTCTCATAATCGAGTTCTTTGTTAATTCCAAGAGGTTGAAGCTTCTGAAGACTAAGCCATTGCCATGTGCGTTTTGTGTCGAAGAAAAGGACTAACAAAAGTTCTAAGTCATCAGAGGATTTATTGCAGGCTATTTGTTTACCCCACTTTAATACTGATTCCGGAGGTATAGGAATAGGAACACCATTGTGTGAATAACCCTCATTAGCGTCTGGATCAACAATCTGTTGAATGAAGTGAAAAGAGTTCGAATGATGAAAACTTTCATGATTTAAATTTATTGGTGTGCGATAGTATTCAATGCAATAAAATGACACCTAATTGCTTTGATTTCGAAAGTCATTAGAATCTGTTCATAAAATGAAGTCATGCAAACACTTGTATACAAATATTTCAGCATCATCATCAACAGCAACGTAGAACTTCGTACATAAGTACATCAGTTCAAGTTGCCATACCACATTAGCACAGAAATGTAATTGTCAATTCAAATCCCATAGTGGTAGAGGTAGTAGAAGTATGAACAGTATCAGAAAGATTAAGGTTTGGAGATGCTATTCAAAGTGTATAATCTAATGAAATAAATTAAAAAAGAGAAAGATAGAGTTGATGAGGAGGAATTTAGAAAACTACAATTTCAGGGAACAGAATGGGTGGACCTGCACCATTGCAAACAGTTTGGAGCCACGTCATTCAAGGTTTCTGATCATCGATTACTATAATCTCGCGGACACCAAACAGGTAGCCTACATCTACCAACATGACTCAGTCAACTTGTCAGTGACTTCATGGATTTCTGTCATGTTTTGGTCTGGCCGACCCTAGCTTTCTTCCAACCTATTCCTATACCACAAAACATAGCTCGACGAGGCAGTCGGAGGTTAGGCATTTGTAACAGATGTTCCAACCAACTCAACTGATGAAGTTTCACTACCGCGTCTATTGATCTGCAATCCACACCTAGAACCCGTTTCCTAACAACAGCATTCCTTACTCAGTTGTCCCATGATACACGAGCAATGCTTCGAAGATACTTATAATCCAAAACAGGCAACCTACGAAAATCTTCCACTCTGACTGGCCATGTTTCACAGCCATAAAGTAAGTAGGATGGAGCGAACTGCTGCACAGTACACTCGTCCATTGGATAGCGGACGGATATCTCGCCTATGCCATAGATGACGCAGGTTGGCGAAAGCCAATCGAGCCTTTTGTATCCGAGCTGAGATTTATTCAGTCACCAGGCCATCAGCACTGATGAGACTCCCAAGATAAGTGAAGCGGTCTACACGTTCGACTACTTTACTCCCTATCACTAGTTCAGGTGCCAATGCAACCCAATCTTGAAGCAACATTTTGCATTTCGACGGGGAAAACTGCATTCCGAACATGCTTACATTGTTGCTTAGGGTAGTCAGAAGACTCTGCATTTTGTCAGCATCTTCACCAAGTAGGACTATGTCATCGGCATATTCTAAGTCAATAAGCGAGCCACCTGGTAAAAGGTCTACTCCAGAAAATTCAGACGAGGATAAGGTTATTTCTAGGAGCATGTCTATGATAAAATTAAACAAGAATGGAGAGAGTGGACATCCCTGACGGACACCACTTGAAGTAAAGAATTCCGGTGACAGTTCGCCATAAGCTCTCACTCGACCAGTGGTGTTCGAGTAAAGGGCTTGTATAAGGTTAATGTACTTCTCTGGTAAACCTTTCAAAGACAGACACTGCCACAGAACCTCACGATCCACAGAGTCGAATGCCGCTTTTAGGTCCAGGAAAACAACTATTGTTCCAGGACCTGTCTGAGTGTGAAAATGTGGTCTATACATCCACGTTCAGGTCGAAAACGAGACTGGTTTTCTCGAGTCTGCTATTCACGAGCTTCCGTTAGGCGTCGTAGTATTATCGAGGCCAATATTTTAGATACTATATTAGTTGGACTTATTTCTTTGTGACTGTCACAAGACGACTTTTGTCCTTTCTTATAAATTGGGACAATCAGGGATTGAGACCAGTCGGATGGGATTACGTCCAGTTCCCAAATATTTGACTTATTTACATCCATAGCTAACAAGACAATGTTTAAGCTCAAGTGAATGTGGTTTTATCGGATTCACCAAAGGATTCTTTTTTAAAAGCTTGACAATTACATTCCTCAACCTTAAGGATGTCATCAAAATAATACTTCAGGCATCAGATAGTGGAAGCACTGGATTTCGAAACTGGGTTTGAATTTCACCTCATTTTTCCAGTCTGAGTCGCCGTCGCAAAAAGAATGTCTTAAATTCGAGTATATGAAATTACATTCAGTTACCGAATACTAATCTTTTAAGCTGATTGAGTTTGGAAAACCTGTTCACCCAGTCAAATATCTGATATTACTCAATGTAGTACCTCGAGCTAAATTTTGATATCGGTCAATCAGAGATGCGCCTCCCGGTACAATAAATACGTCTATTTCTGGCAACTCGTAAGTTATAGTGCATATACTTCTTATCCTAAATATAAACTTAATCCAAACCTTCAACATATAAGGAATATTAAGTCCTGTTTATGAAATGTCTTGCATCAATAACAAACAAACATTATCAACGCGGAGTCTAACACTTACATTATGATTACTGTAGTCTAACTAAGAAAATCATAAACACTATTCTCAAAACATAATCAGATAAAGTTCTGAATACAAATTCCATACAAACAATAGATTACTAACTTTAAACAATTGAATAAAATTCAAAACAGAATAAGGTTATCAACCAAAGATAGTTCTTAGCTAAATATGATTCCCCTAGTAATGACACCTCCGTCTATATAAATAAAGTCAATAGTAATCATAATTAGTTATCTGGCTATAGAAATATCAGTGCCAAAAACTTGTTATAGTTAAGACTGTTCAACTTACTATGGCTGGGTACCATGGCGACCCCAAACATTTGGCCCAAACGATATCTAAAGGACTGAATTGATGTTCCGGAAATATATCCTCTCCAATACTACCTCGAGAAGAAACACGGGATAAGGGACTTCGTATTGGTTTAGAGTTACTAGAATAAGATGTTTCGATATTGGAAGAAATGGACAATGGGTCAGTTATGCAACTGGCCTTTGTATCAAATTCATTATCCAATGGTAAGTCAGTATGGTGTGATCTGTTAACTGGTTCGAAATTACTGTTCACAGCGTTATGATCTCGTTGGATACTATTTGATATGACAATACCAGTTTTCGGTAGAAACTTTGTGAATAATGTATCAGAATCTGATGTTAAATGAGAATCATTAAAAGGAGCTAATATTGGTGATGGTATGTTAGATTGAGCATTTTGAAGATTTTTGTTAGCGCCTAGTTCATTAGGTAATGGTGCTCGTCTTTTATGTTTAGATTTTCTGATATTCATAGAGGCTTGTTTTGCTCTGAACCGATAAACAGATTTCTGAAAACAAAATACATTTTATTCAATGTGTGAAAAAATATAAATTAGCAAATTTTTATTTATATGGTAACTGACTCATATGAAAGTAATTTGGATAATTTACCACTGTATTTTGAACTTTTCTAAAAGATTATTTAAACCATAAAAGAACGTATATCTGATTCCAAGAGAATGAGCATTGTTGATAAATGGCATGTTGAGCAGAAAAATCGTGACTAAAAAAACTGTCGTATAGCATAATAATAAAGTATAGAGTATAACAACACTAATGATGATGAGTCTGTTCTTTTACTCAAGAACTAAAGGAAGCAGAAGATCATAAAAAATAATTCACAAAGAAGTTATGTATCTAACAATGTCATAAAACTGATTAGATTGCTGCTTAAAATAAACACCTCCAGTATGTTTTATGAAAATATTTTGTTATTGGTAATTTATACCTACAAATACGTCTAAGGAAGTATTTATACTTCTTAAATGGTTATGTTTCTAAAAAGCCGAAGACTTGATGTTGTTCGACAAACGCTTTCCGTCCGTCAGTGATATATAGAACTAATTTCTGTATAAATTTACCAAAAATATATGTCTTTGATAAGTCTTCTATCCAGTTAAAAGATTGGTTCACAATACACTTCAAAAACTTCCATCTACTTTTCTGAATTAATAGTGACACTTTAGGTAGGGTTTAAATAATTTGTTGTTCCTGATTGGTTATGTGGTTCATGGAAAATCTCTGCAAGAGAAGTGGAGTAGTAGTGTAAACCAGTCTATAAACAGAAAAAATTTCTATCTGTGGATATGCAGACATTATGTGAAAATTCACCGATTATTGATATATATCATTGATTATTGATTGGTCAACTTTGTCATTGAAGTGCTTTTAGATACAACACTTTCAACACCTGAGTTTGAAGGAGTTGAACCTTTACCAGGAGACTCACTCGTTGACTTAGCGTATGTCGATGGCATAGTTCTGTTTGGTGAAGTCGCTGACAAATACAGAGTTTTCTGAACACCCTAAGCAACAATGCAAGCATGTTCGGAATGCGATTCCCCACCCCCCGTCGAAATGCAAAATGTTGCTTCAGGACTGGCTTGTATCGGCACCTGAATTAGTGATAGTGAACCGGTTGAGCATACTGATCACTTCACTTAACTCGGGAGTCTCATCAGTGCTGATGGACTGGCGGATGATGAAATCTCAGCGAGGATACAAAAGGTTTGACTGGCTTTTGTAAACTTGTGCCTCTTCTGGCGTAAGAGAGATATCCATCTGCTCCGTCCTACTTTATGGTAAGAGTGGAGTGGTTTTCGACCATAGATATCTCCGAACCATTGCTCGTTTATCTTGGGACTGTCAAGTAAACTATGCTGTTATTAGGAAATGAGTACTATGTAAGGATGTCAGATCAATTGATGAAGTACTACATCTGTACCAGTTGAGGTGGCTCCTTTGTACAAGTAATTATGTTTTTAAATAAAGTAACAAATCTCGAAGATGTCATAAATCTTAGTAGCTTCGTAGTTATATATTTATATATATCATTAAGTGAATAAGAAAATTTATTATTATGATCCAATAAATGAAATTTTGATTTCAAATTTAACCTTTAACAAGTTAATAATATTTAATGCCGAATATGTTACTAACATATTTACTGCCACCTTCTCAACAAGCTATAACTAGAATTCAACAATCTGTAGTAAATTATTAGAGTAATTTTTCTAATAAGCACTAGGATTACTTCTGTAAGCTGCAATACGTTAATATCCTCGAACAAGATTTCGTTATAAATCTTTTATAAACTTACTAAACGACTGACAGGAGAACGTTTATTAGCAAAAGCCATTCGACTTGCACCAACCAATGTTGTTGTTTTACTGACAACAGTGGGTCTTTTATTAATTCTAACTTCCGGATCTTGTTTTGAACTTTGTTGTTGGTGCTCACGAAGAAAACGATCAGAATTATGACTAGGATTAGGTGTTGAAGAGTTAGTATTAGGATGAACAATGCATCCATCATCACTCTCATCGTCATCTGTCTCTTCACTATCATCTTCATCATCCTCATCATCGCCACGTGATAAACGACCGATTCTATAACGTGTAAATGCAGGACCATTACTTAAAGATATTAGTTCATTAACTTCGTTTGTAGATCGAGCTACCTGACGAGTATGAAAAGATGTCGAATCTTTAACTGATAGAAGATTAGAAGGATTCCATTTACAATCGCTGTTTCTAGGTGATCCAATAAGATTTTCAAATCCATTCGCTGACTTATTGTAAGCTTGTGCAAATGCATTTCCGGGAGAATGTGGCTGTACTCGAGCTAGTTTTGCGGGCTTCCGACAATCTCCATTGAGTAGAATTGGAGAAAGATAAGGATTCCGATCTCCACTTGTTGAAGAAAGACTAAAGATAAAAAGTAAAAACATGAATTTTACTTCGTACAGTTTAGTAAAATTTCGAATATAGATTCCAGCATATTTTGAAAGAATATTATGCAACCACATCGATACATCAACAGAAGTCTACAAGGATTATGAACGGGTTTTAAACATAAACTATATACAACACTTTTAATGTAATAACTGATGAGCGTACACAAAGATTATGAACTTATGACTAAATGTTTGAAAATCCACTAACAGAAAACTGAACTTTAAACAAAAAAAAACTATTGCATTTCATAGTAACATTATTGAAGTTCCACACAATTCGAAAAGTTAACACATTTCTCGAGTGAAGTTAATCTTTGCATTTCCAACGTATACATTGTATTATAAATCCAGCTCTTTCAACCATTTTCCGCTATTTTGTGGGTAGTTACATCACATTGGAGTGCAATTACCGCTACAAATTCCATTTTAACTGTTTGCATACATTAATAACTGTCTGTTATGAACATTTCAGAGTATCGTAACAAGGTATGCATGACACCTGTCAATAATTTAACATCAATATTATATATATATATATATATATATATATATATATATAAGACTGAAACAATCGAACACTTTCATGTATGACAAAATCATGGTGTGACACACATATATTAAGAGAATAAATATGACCAATAAGATGGAAAAATATCATTTTTTTCTCAACTATTAAATAATTGATCACTGTAATTATTTGTAAACAAAAAATTAACTATATTCAACATACCGGCGTTTTCTAGATAAATTGGATGAGTCCATTACTATATTAGTAAAAGGATTCGTAGTAGTATCACTAATAGTAGAAGTAGTAGCACCATTATTAGTATTATTAGGTGAAGTAAAGTCAAAATTTCCATTTGTAGTAAAAGAAATAGGTGATTGATTTGGTGTTGTTGGTGAATGAAAACTTCTTAATCGACTTCGTATATTACTAGGAATTGATGAATTTTGATCACAATTAATTAATTCTTTTAAAGGACTATGAACTCGTTTATTTGTTGTTAATAAACATTTAGGTTTTCGTGTAGTGGATAAATGAAGTAATACTGGAGAATTTGGTGAGTTTTTTCTATAATTATAATTTCCATCCATTGAATTCACTGATTGAGCATAATTTTCATTTGTTTTAGATGTATTTTCAATATTATCTTCATGAGATGATTGGTTATTGATTTCTGTTTTCTTTTGCACATTCTCTAGAAGAAGTCCAGTTTTAGGACAGAAACTGATTTGTTTCTCCATGGCTAAGGCTTCAGATATGATAGGTTTACTCTTCAGAAATTAAATAAAGAATAGTATATATACAATTACGGTGTAAGTTAACGTTTTGTTTTTCATAAAGTATGAAAGAATTTATAGATATATGTCGAAACTGGACTGATTTTAGTTTCACTCAGATTCGTGTACCTGAGGCTTCGAGCCACACACTGTGTGAGCAGGATAATAATATTATTCAAGTGTCCAAGCTAAAGCAAGTAGAGCGAGACTCGAACCTCCAACCTAGTGATTGAGAATTAGTTACTTAAAGTATCTGACCACTAGTTATAATAAACACACGGATCTCAATCAGGTAGTAGTCTGTATCTAACTATGTAGCTCAGATTAACAGTTAACAACTTTATGGATTAATATTATGTTTTAGTTTGATCCCTGTGCCTTTTTTTCAGAGTGTAGTGAACGAGAACACAGGTGGGGCAACCGAATTGTATTTAGCGAAATTACAGAGTTACTCAGTAAAATTGGAAAACCATATGGTAAATCGTTAATTTGCAAAATATCAGTTCATCATATCGAACTGGACTGTTCCTGTTGCAAAACATCAATCCAATGTTCCATTGTGTTCTAACTCTTCCTTTCTTGATCTTCCCCCATATTATGCTGCCAGACATTACGTTGACACTCACGTCATATACTACTTATAAGTAGCTCACACCACAAGAGTACTACTATACGAACTATCATCGCCTTTCCTAGTCGGCAGTGGTTGGGTATAAGTAATATGAATTTTGGAAACCTTAGTAGGTGAAGATTCACCACATCACAAATCCGTTTTTTATCTTTACCCTAGTACTGTGTTCAAATTTACTATTGTTCATTCTCTGATCTTCATATCCACGAGCAATACTCCGAAAGGATAAGAGAAATGAAATAAACTTTGGATATATAAATATATATACCCTCCTACAAAGTTTTAACTACACTACTAAGAAGAACTACAATAAAACGGAACATTTTTTTCTAATGATATTAACTTGTAATAAATCCAAACTTGAATCGAAATGTGAAATCAATAAAAATTTTCAAATAAACTCTACCGTAAAAAAAAGAAGGAACTTGATAGCTTTCAGTCCTTCCATATATTATTATTTCTCTTTTTTTCATAGAATATAATTAATTAACTAATGAATAAACAATTTTCACTGTACTTTATAGTGTAGATGTACAACTTACTCGTTCACGTAGTTTAACAGCAGCAGTATAATAAATACTTGTTTCACGATTATATTCAAAACAATTATCTAGCATTAAATTAAAATCTGATAATAATTCATTCATAGTGAGATATTCAAAATTTTGAATTTTTTTACGCATTGTAGAAAAATCCATTGGTTTTTTAATAATCAAATTATAATCTGGTGCAAGACTTGGTTCAACAGGTTCTGCAAAAAATTGATTTGTATCTAAAACCTTATGTTAAAAATAAATGAATATGTGAAGTAACAATAAGAGGAAATGATTACTTTCGATAGAATTGACCATTAATGAGAAAAACAAGTTATATTTGTTAAGGTTAATTAATTGAAGTAATAATACTTAAGAATAGAAAACTGAATGATTTTGGAGATTTCATCAATGTGCTGCTGTGTAGTATGAAGTGACACATGACTAGATAAGCATTTTAAAAAAAACCCTAGAATTTAAGCACATCTAATTGACAATTTTTAGGCAAAATGATATGAGCCATCTAAACTTCACTGTGAACCTGTGTCCTCAAAAACAAATAACGAGATTAAAAAAATAAGTGCTAAATTAATTGAAGGTATTTTTATTTCACGAAAATTCGAAGGCATATTTAAATCAGTTATATCTGTTGGTTAAAGCTATCGAACGAAAAATCCATAACTTTTTTATTTGGAAATCAGCAAAAATCAAAGTTTCTATTCAAATAATTCATACAATATTGTTTGTATTCATAACCAGATTTGTAGAATATATTGAACAACATTTTTTTCTCAAGAAGTTATGGGATTATAAAAAATTTTCTAAAGGAATAAATTAATGGTTTCAAAAACTTTTAATCATGCAAAGATCTTTTATGAGTATTGAGATAAATTTTACACTTTTTTTTTTAAATACATCCCAATCCATAGAACTAGGTCAGTTAATTAAAATGGAATAATGTAGTATTGTCGACTATTTACAAATCTATTAAAGTAAACAAATCAACTCTAAAAAACGCAAAATTTGCAACCTGAAAAGTTTAAAGCATACAGCCAAATGAACAAAAGACTATTACTTTTGAATAAATTCACATCAAGTTTGAATTAATAACAAAAAACACCTATCAAGTATGAGGGACTGATGCTGTGCAAACAAGCACAAAAGAACTGACAGGATGAGAATCTCAAGAAATCAGGATCATCAGAGTATCCATCAAAATAGAGAAAGAGGGGATTACAAATGAACGTCATCCAGTTTTATACGCTTACTAACGACAACAATGAGGACCTTAAAGATCAATTCTACGAGAGGATACAGTCAGTCGTCGAGAAATGCCCAACAAAGGACGAACATTTTGACGGGAGATCTAAACGCCAAGGTTGGAATGGACAACACTGGATATGAAGACATCAGGAGACGACATGGACTGGGAGAAAGGAACGAAAATGGTGAGAGATTCGCAAACCTATGTGCCTTTAACAAAATATTTATGGGAGGAACCATATTCCAACACAAATGTATACACAAAGTTGCATGGATTTCTCAATGTCACACTATATATAACCAAATCGACCATATATGCATCAATAAAAAGTTTAGAAGGATGATGGAGGACATGAGAACCAAAAGAGGAACTAAAATAACCTCAGATCAGCACTTGCTGGACGCCAAGATGAAACTGAAACTCAAGAAGCACAACATCACAAAAGTTTAATACGGCCTTTCTTCAGCATACTGGCAAACACAACGAATTCAAGATAACCCTTAGCAATAGGTTCTAGATCCTTCACGATTTACTAGATGGAGAGGAAACTACCACGGAACAAAACTGGAAAGGGATCAAGGAAGTAATCGCTTCGAAATGTCATGAGGTTCTGGGCCACAAGAAGCACCATTACAAGGAATGGATCACTGTTGATACACTGGATAAAATTCAAGGATGGAGCAAGAAGGCAGCAACCAATATCAGCCGAGCAAGAGCGGAGAAAGCCAAGCTACAAGCTGAATACGTAGAGGCGAACAAGCAAGTGAAGAGAATCACCAGATCCGACAAACGTACATATGTGGGAGATCCAGCAACGATGGCGGAAAAGGCTGCAAGAGAAAGGAACTTGAGGAAATTGTACGATACAACAAAGAAACTCGCTGTAAACTAGAATAAACCAGAACAACCAGTTAAAAGCAAGGAAGGCAAAGTAATCACCAAAACTGAAGAACAGCGAAACAGGTGGGTAGAGCACTTTGAAACTCTTGAATCGACCAGCCCCACTGAACCCACCCAACAGCGAAGCAGCATCCACGGACCTCCCAATCAATGTTGAACCAAACACAATTGAAGAGACCAGCATGGCCATCAGGCAAATAAAGAGCGGTAACGCAGAGGAAGCAGATAACATTCCAGCATAGGCACTGAGCAGACATAACAGTAACTGCATAGAAACTCCACATTCTATTCAGAAAGATTTGAGATTAAGAACAAGTACCAACATACTGTAAAGAAGGACACATTATCAAAATACCAAAGAAAGGCGATCTCAATAAGTGTGAGAACTACAGAGGCATCACATTCTATCAGTACCAGGGGGTTTTGAACATAGTGTTATTAAACAGATTAGCAAGCTGGATTTCGTAAAGATCGATCGTGTATCGACCGAATCGAGACGTTACGGATCATTGTAGAACAATCAATTGAATGGAACTCACCACTCTACATTAACTTCATCGACTATGAGAAAACATTCGAGAGCATAGACGACAGGACGACACTATGAAGGATTTTTCAACAATATGTTGGGCCTGAGAAGATAGTCAACATCATACGCAATTCTTGTGATGGACTACACAGTAAAATAGTGCATAGAGGACAGCTCACAGACCTCACCCTTTCCCTTCCTCCCGGTGGTCAGCTGGATTATGTAGACGTCAAAATCTGGAGGGAAGCACGAGATACAGTGGTCAAATTAAAAATAGTTAGACGATTTGGGTTTCGCAGATGACCCAGTTCACCCATCCCATACACAGCAACAAACGCAGAAGATGGCCAGTGTGACAGAAGCCTCTGCAGCAGTAGGTCTCAACATACTCAAGGGAAAAAGCAAGATTCTCCAACACAGCACAACATGCGTCAAGCAAATCAATCTCGATGGAGAAGCTCTGGAAGATGTACTTACCTCACATACCTGGGCAGAATCACTGATGAGCAAGGTGGAGCTGAAGCAGATGTGAAGGTACGGGTCGGCAAAGCAAGGACAGTATTTCTACAACTGAAGAACATCTGGAACTCAAAACAACTATCAACCAATACCAAATTCAGAAAATTTAATACAAACATCAAGAGAGTTCTACTGGGTGGAGCGGAAACTTGGAGAACTACGAAAGCCGTCATCCAGAAGATACACATGCTTATCGATAGTTGCCTACCCAAAATACTTCAGATCCGCCAGTCAGATACCATCAGCAACAACCTACTGTGGGAGAGAACAAACCAGATCAAAGAGGAGGAAAAAATCAGGAAGCGCCGGAAGTGGACAGGACACATTGGAGAATGTTGTTCGGCGGACGATGCTCCACTAGGGGTAACAGGTGTACGTAAGTATGTATCGATAGTTTAACACTCAAAAAATAAACATGATTCAAGAGTTTATCTATCAACGGATTGAGTGGTAGGCATTAATGCGTTCATTTGACCGTATTATATTTAGCTTTTTGCTACAAGTAAAATGAAATTCTATACTCCAAAAGGTCATTTTAGGAAATGACATGTTAAACGTATTTTCGATTCTCTGCAGAAGAACATCCAAAGAATGAAGACGGTCAGTTAATCAGCTACAACGTAGATCTTCGTACGTACGTACGTACATCAGTTAAGGTTGCCATACCACATGAGCACAGAGATGCAGTTGTCAGTTCGAATCCCATAGTAGTACATGTAGTGGAAGTATGAGCAGTAATCCGAAAGATTTGAGTTTGGATAAGATATTCGCAGCCATAGAGTAAGATGGAGAGAATTACTGCACAGTAGACCCGTCTTTTGGTCAGCAAACGGATATCTCGCCTACTCCATAAGAGTCACAAGTTGGCAAAAGCCAATCGAGCCTTCTGTATCGGAGCTGAGATTTCGTTAGTCACCAGGCCATCGGCACTGATGTGACTCCCAAGATAAGTGAAGCGGTCCACACGCTCGACTACTTCACACCCTATCACTAGTTCAGATGTCGATGCAACTCAATCTTCAAGCAGCATTTTTCATTTCGAGGGGGAGAATCGCAATCCGAACATGCTTACATTATTGCTTAGGGTGGTCAGAAAACTCTGCATTTGTCAGCGACCTCACCAAACAGAACTATGTCATCGTCATATTCTAAGTCAACAAGCGAGTCTCCTGATGGAAGGTTAACTCCTGAAAAGTGAGACGATGAAAGTGTCATCTGTAAAAGCATGTCAATAACAAAATTAAATAAGAATGAAGAAACTGGACAACCATGACGAATACCATTTAGAGTAATCAATTCTGATGACAGTTCGCCATAAAGACAAGATGCTATTCAACTGACAGGATAATGAACATGATAACTTATTCAAATTATCGTGAAATATTTAACTCAGATAAACACCTTTTAAAATTAGCAGCTGAAAAAAGTGAGTAAAATGAATTCGAGCTCCCTAGATATACACATACAACATTCTTACTTGAAGCTGATCGATAAACCGTAACTGAAATATAACAAGTGGTTGGATTTTCAATTCAATTTCAGTTACAAATAGACGAAATATATCATGTTTAATACGTTCACGTTTACGTATAAGTTCAGACAACAACCGTCCTCTTTCAAGATCTTGACGTAATTGTTGCCAGAATTTTAAATGAGCTCTCATTCGATGTGATTCTGCATCTCCAGTTGTAGCCGCAACAGCCTATTAGTGAAGAAAAAGAATAATTTAAAACACAAAGATAATTTATTTCCAAGAATATAATAAATCTAGATCAAACTACATGATATGCACATTTAGAATCATAACTATGGTACAGTGTTCAATCGATGATTGCATAGTACTATCATGATCAGATGATGGATGAAGGCAGTCAACAGGAGGCCTTGAACCTAGATTTTGTGCTGTTTGTCAGAAAGGTGAACCTGTGATCTCTGGGGAACTGATTCTCAATCTCGAATCACCCAGCTTCACAATCAGAGACCACTGCACTATTCTCCATAAACCAAGATTTATAGCGGGAACCAAGCGCATGGAAGAATTATATTTGTAGAAAAATACTAAGAACAGAAAATGTACCAAATATACAAGAGGCAGTCATTAGCAGTCCCGTACATAAAGTCACAAAAAAACCCCATCAAAACTCTTCCTATTTATGCTAAGTAAAGAAACCAATGTCAAAACTACTTTTCAGATATATCTGAAATGTGTCTGCTCAATAATTTCCAATTATGTTATGTTATCCCTGAAGCTATATAGTCTAAGATATTATTCCTCCGTGTAAACACTTTTTACCCGTCAATTACAGTTCCCTTTTTTGTTCGCATAATGTTCATTTTATTGTTAATTTACTGTTAATTTGTGGATCTACCGCTTAGTGGTTTATATATTTGACTTTCAACTATTAGATATAAATGTTTGGCTCTTCTCCACTTTAGTTTTCAGAATAGTAAGAAATCCAACCTAAAGTATATTAAATGAGCCAAGAATAGGTAACTGAATTATATTACAATCGACATGCAGTATGTAAAAGGCTAAAAGTCTGAGTTCGGTTACTGATTATGATTCTTAATGCATTTCTCTACCTAGTAAATGTGACTTATAATGTAAGCTTAGAAACATCCATACGAGAATGTTTTCATCCAAAGTTTTGGATTATGGTGACTTTTATGATCATTGCCATTAATTTTACGTTTACATAAAGATGATCGACAAATGATTATTGTATAGATTATTAGTATGCATTATGATAAATATACATTATGGTAAATATACAGTATAGATATCATTCGACAATTGAATGAAATATTTCAATCATGATTACCAAATAACATTGAACGAAAACTGATAGAGAACGATTTTATAAACATAACTTACAAAATTGGCTGCACTTCTGTGCAAAGAACATGCCTGAAGCCGTTTAAGTAATGGAACACCACGTCTAAACTCTCTTTTGAGTTTCCAAAATGCATAAGTTTGTTTTAAGAACTCCATTTTATCTCCTGATACACCAGATAATTTGGACAGAATAAGCTGAAAGCAGAAATTAAGAAAATACCTTTAATGAGGTTAAAATACTCTACAAAGATAGCATATATCTAATAACAATGTCAGATGATGAAAGCTTATGCAATCTAAAACCTGCATGATGTCCTGTTCATGGTTTGCATTCTAATGATAGTTCGGTAACTCATGAACATTAAAACCCAATATCTATCTATATATGCTATGTTTGTGCCAATTAAGATACGACTAGATATCGACGAACGGAATGTAAACCAGGGACACAACAGGAAAGTTAATCTATTCTCTGCGGCCCAGTCTAGCTACCTAGAGCAAGAAGTACAAAGTCAGTACAAAGAAGCCCCCAGCAAACGAATTCACAAGCCCTCAACTTAGGCGTAATTTATATAGTTCAAAAGGTGTCTTGGAAGAGTTACAAAAGAGTACACTAAAAAGAGAAAACTACCCATTGAGGTTCAAGGTCGTTCCAAGTGGGAACACAAATTGAAGGTAATAAGAGGCGCTTTTGGGGCGGAAATAAGATATTGGAACTTCCAAAAATAAATTCAGAAATTAAGAGGTTCACTAAGTGATTTCTGGGGATCTACCATCCCCAACAACATACATGACAAGCAATCATAATTAGCCACTAATAATATGTACAATATATCAGGACTATAGAGGAAATCAGAAGATAACAACACCTGATATCACTAACTGTACAGTCGTTCCAGTCAATATATAAATACGTAGAGCTTCATATTATCGGATTATATTATAGTATATGAAATGGAATAGTTAGATATACTGATGATAGTTTGAAAATGCACATAATTAATTGCTAGAAAATAACTCCGGTCAGTTTAATAAAATGATTAATCAATGCTTTCACTTAATAAACCTATAAATACGTGCATATTTCATAAGTACCAGTTTTGCTTTTGTTCGTTTACGCTAGAATAACATCATACGAATGATGATCAAGTTTGATTAGTCTTACTTCTGGACTTAGCAACAGTATGGAAATTTGGTTTGGTGAAAAATTGCAGCTCTGTTAGACTGCACTTATTACGTTTACAATGACACGGAGGTAGTTCCCAACTAATACTGAAGTTAAAGAGATAATTTGATATGAAAGTCAATACGATAAGACACAAAAATGTCATTATGTGTTCAAAATATTCTTTGCTTTATTTGAGTAAGCTGATTACAGTTTGAATCTACTTCGTCAGTTAGAGTAAAGCAGGAGTATTATAACAGTTCATCATTCGATAAGCTTAGCTCCTAACTTAGTAAACAAACCTATACGTTATTGTTAAGTGACGTTAATATTTTAGAAAACGAATTTTCTTTAAAAAATAATCTGACCAACTTACATCAAGTTTTGCTTTGGATACAATGGGAACACAAACAGATGGTTTAGAATTTCTTCGTTCAGCCAAAATTTTACGAGCTTTTCTGAGATGAATTCGAGCTGCTCGCTCAGGAGATTGAGGACCATCAGAATCAGAATGAGCATACATTCCTTTGTTTGAACTCTACATATTATCCAAAATAAAAAAAATAATAAATCTATTATCTTTGGTAGAATTGGAAACCTGAAATCAAATGCCAGTAATCAAATAACGGTCAACAGTTTGATAATTTAAATTTTTGAATCACAGTTTAATTGGTCAACTGTAGTTACCAGGTTGTAGAGATTGTTGAGTTTCATTGAAATAATGGACTGATACATCTGCTTAATGAACACAAGGTATGACTTCCTATCTCTTTCTAAAAACTCGAGACTAAAACTAAAATGAAATTTGAACACAAGGCGTAAAGTACGACGAAGCTTTACGTCAAGGTTAGTTTATGTATAGAAAAATAAAAGTATTTACAAAGGTACTCGTAACCTTGGGCTACTGGAAGGTTCGTCAGTGAGTCCGTTACAATGTTTAACTTCGTACTTACGTACATCAATTCAAGTTGCCATGCCACATTAGCACAAGGACGCAACTGTCAATTCAAATCCCATTTAAGTAGAGGTAGTAGAAGTTTCAGCAGTAATTGGACAGACTGAGTTTCGACGATACTGTTCAAAAAGTAGAATCTAGTGAAAGGAACTTAAAAAGATAAAGGAAAAGGTGATTAGGAACTCCAAAGGTGAGAATTCGAGAGAACACAAAGAGTGAATGCATCTGTGCTATTGCAAACGGTTTCGCGAAATGATATTCAGGATCCCAAACCATCGATTACTATCGACCCGCGGAACCCAACAAGGCAGTCGACACCTGCCAACATGGCTCAAGTCCGCTTGTCAGTGACTTCATGGACTTGTGCCATGTTTTGGTCTAGCTGTCTCTAGATTTCTTCCAACCTATTCCTACACCGCAAAACATAGCTCGACGAGGCAGTCGGCGGTTGGGCATTCGCAACACGTCCCAATCACCTCAACCGATGTAGCTTCAGTACTTCATCTACTGACCTGCCATCCTCACCTAATTCTTGTTTCCTAACTACAGCATTGCTTACTCAGTTGTCCCACGACACACGAGCAATGCTTCGAAGACACCTATGATCGAAGACTAGTAACCTACGAAAGTCCTCCACGGCCATGTTTCACAGCCATAAAGTAAGTAGGATGGTCAGCAAACGGATATCTCGCCTAGACCATAAGAGGCACAAGTTGGCAAAAGGCAATCGAGCCTTCTGTATCCGTGCTGAGATTTCGTCAGTCACCAGTCCATCAGCACTGATGAGACTCCCAAGATAAGTGAAGTTGTCAACACACTCAACCGCTCCACTCCCTATCACTAATTCAGGTGCCGATACAAGTCGATCCTGAAGCAACATTCTTCATTTTGACGGGGGGGCGTAATCGCATTCCGAACATGCTTGCATTGTTGCTTAGGGCGGTTAGAAGATTGGATTTTATTAGCGTCTTCACCAAGTAGAACTATGTCATCGGCATATTCTAAGCCAGTAAGCGAGTCTCTTGATAGAAGGTACACTCCTGAAAATTCAGACGACGATAATGTTAGATCTAGAAGCAAGTGTATGACAAAATTAAACTGGAATGGAGAAAGCGGACATCCCTGATAGACACTACTTGAAGTATTGAATACCGATGACGGTTCGCCATAAGCTCTCACCCGACAAGTGGTGTTCGAGTAGAGAGCTTGTATAAGGTTAATGTACTTGTCTGGTACACCTTTCAATGACAGACACTGCCACAGAACTTCACGATCAACAGCGACGTGGTCAAGTTGGGTCGGCTTTGGGGATCGTCAGGTCAAGAGATGTTGTTCCTCATGCTTAAAGTTGCTGTTTGCTAGAAATAGTCAATTATCTGAGCACAGCTGCAGCAGACGGTCGCCAGGTGTCTTTCCTTTTCACTCAGTCTACCTACTTGAGCGTTAAAGTCATCAGCCATTACTACTGTATCAGAGCGCTCAACTTTTTGAAGGAGATTAGAGAGGTTTCTGTAAAGCTCACCTTTTATCTCGTCTGAACTGCAGTCAGTGGGGGCGTAGGCAGAGACAACAAAGAGGCAATGGCGAGTGTCCCTATTTATCGGAGTCCTTACCGTCCCGTTGAGTCGGACAGTGCATAAGCAACTGTCTACCGGGATCCAGTCTAAGAGAGCTAGTTCTGCCCTTGTACTGAATACTATACCTACACCAGCAAGACCCCTGGAGGCAGCATCAGAGCTACCTGAAACATGAAGCGTAAACCGTGTTGTCTTTCTATCTGCACAAGATGAAATCAAATTGATGATTTTACTGGGATCTTGTATACGCGTTTCCGAGACGCAGCATACATCGATTGCACGGGATTCCAAAGTTCTAGTTAATGAAGCCTGTCGCCTTATTTGGCACAACGTTCGGACATTAAAATCTCCAATATGAAACTTAGTACAAGGTTTCAGGAGATGAGGAAAATGTTTCGTGAGCTCAGACCTTTCGCTTCAGCGGTGTGAGGTGGCAAATGATCGAAAGAAGGGTTGATCGTGGAGATAAGAGAGTTATTAGGAAGTGTAGAAAGGATTTGACGCTACCGACTTGGTCTTTTGTGCTGTGACGGGTATGGGGGGATGTTACTTCCCAACTGCCCGCACTGTGGAAGCGTGTTTCTTGAGGAACCTGAAAAAGAAGTTGGATTATTGTTGGTCCTAGAGACCTAAGAGCGTGACCCCAAAGTCCAAGGGACAACTGCTTCAGGCCGGTCACGCGCGGACTTTTTATGAGAAGTATTTGAAGTATAAGTTCGGCTCTTGTTTAAAGATGGAAATCCGTGAGGTAGGGTGAGGTGTGACATTCTTAGAGTCGACATTTCCTAGCCCTTTTTTCCTTATGAGAATGCAACGTCGCTACAGATGCTGGTTGTCCCAGGGAAATACCTTACTGCTGTAACACATCTCTACAGTCAGCAGTACGACTTCGTCCTCAGACCTTGAGTAGCTGCTTTTAATTCCATCGTTCTCTAATCGGCGTGCCAGGCATGGTAGAACCTTCAGGAACATATGTTCCAGACAATATAACTCGGTCACGTCATCACGATAGGCAAGCCCAACCATCACGTTAAGGTACCAGCTGTGGTCGGGGAAGGTTTGTGAACCGTACTAAATATAGTAGCGGTATAGGTAAATATTCAATCAGGATCGTGGCACGTGATTCTGCAATTTCCAGATGTTTTTAGAAAGCTCTATTTAAAGATGATCAGATGAAACGTTTTCTGGCATTTTGGGGCCTCTATACACTTCTTTGAGAGATATTTTCGGGTTCTCCAACATGAACTGACTAATGTTAGACCACCATTGAAAATTTGGAAGCACTGGAATGCCGTTTCGTCCTAGTATTGGACTAGTCAGTGATGCACATCCATGACCCGGAGTGAGGATCGAACCCAGGACCTTTCGATTTGCAAGCGGACGCTTAACCTCTTGATTACTGAAGTGGAATCCATTCTGTTTCTGTTTAGTTTCCTCCAAGTTTCTGCTAATGCATTCGAACATTAAATAAATATTAAAAATCCATGAAACACCAATATCACAGTCTTCTATTTTCATCACTTTCAACTGATTAAAGGAATATTTTGACCGAGTAAGATTGGGGATTATTGAACTTTTCAAGTGTTCCAGTTTGCTTGTAAATGCTCTCTATAAAGTGGGTTACAGATGAAATGCTGTCCCATTAGCATTACAGCTATGTTGTTAAATAATTGACATTGTCATTGTTACCATTTAAACCTTTTTCAGATCTATTTACCTAATACTTATAGGATATTGAATTTAATAAAGATAATTATGCAGTACGATGACATTTATGAATGATAGCCAACCTAAAAGTGTTAGCGCATTGATAATGATTACCATCGTTTACCGCAACACTATTCATTCAATTGAACAGTAGCAAGCTTACAATTCAGTTGGCCAGGATCGATAAATATTATTCTATAATTCAGAAAAATAATCTAGTAATTCGATGGCTATGATCATTATCATCAAAACATTAGTCAATAATAATTCTGGATATATTTCTAACGTGGGTGAACTTACAGAAAAATGATCCGGTGGACAATGCTGATCGCAGAACGCACTCTTTCGGATTCCTAAATCTCCAGGATCATCTGTATGCTCAATCTTCATATACAATCCAGCATGTTGTGCACACGTCACATGAAATGCTCGATAACAACTAGATTTATGACACTGTATACAAGCACCAACATTGCGTTGTTTACAAATGAAACATTGAAGACGCCATCTACAGAAAATGAAAATTATTATTGCTGTAAACAAATCGAAAGTTTGAATCCAACATAAAAATATAAACGAATCTAATTGTGTTAATTAATTTGTTACTGCAAACATAATTCGGAGGTAAACAAATTAGGAACCATCTCTAAATCTGAAAATATTATAGAAAGGACATTCAGCTAATCTTGTTGGGTAATATTACTTTTCTTATTAAAAATCTCTGAAACGTCTTTACTGAAGCTTTGGGTCATTAAACTAAACCTTCAGAAACGCACCATATTTGGTTAATTATTACTAACAGACAATAAAGTGACTTTCCACATTCAAGAAGAAGACGGTTAAGAAAACGTCCAACTTAAAATTACGACCACATGAAATGGAAGTAATGAGTCTGGTTTCATTGTTTTAAAACCAATTTACAATTTGTAAACCATGGTTATCGAGAGAGAAGCTGAGGAACTTATGAAACTAACAATAAAGATTAAAAGAGCATGAGGAGAACATAGAAGATAAAGTTAACTGATAATTAAGAGGAAATACTTACATGTTACATGTGTGATGGTAACTTATGCTTTCAAACTTTTCATATTGCTAAACTTAACGAAGTGAAAGAAACGAAAGAGATTTGTGTGAAAAGAGTGATAAATATCCTTTTCAGAAGTTCTGGCTATTTCACATCCTGTATATTTGTTAAGGAACTTTAGTGTCAAAAACAGAAAGTTGAAAGTACTGTATTATAAGTCGATACTTTCTAAGTCTCCCTAGTCATTGCGGGGCGGTATGAGTGGAAATTTTTACTACTTATAAGAATAATCTTTTATCACCATTACTTATCATGACCAGTAGTACGAATATCCCTCACAGATACCAACTTCGATTAAATTATTAATCTTACAACACTAACCTTTACCAGATAAATTACTTCTTAATTGGCCTTTAATGGATGGTAGAATACGAAGATAGTACAGACGTGATCACTGTAGTTCAACTAAGTGGAAATCCACTCAACACGTCAAGAAAACAGTATCCGTAAAGTTATATCTATAATACTAAATATCGAGTTACCGATAATGCATAAAGCATTCCCCGAAGCTTGTTTATGACCGAAAACTGACATACTGATTTGTAAACTAAACCAACCTGGCTGGAGCTATTCTGTCGATCCCTTCTAGTGGTTCAAGGAATGTAAGATTGGCAAACATCACTTCAGGTACCCATAAGCCACATATTACATGAGCCCATCGATCATCTGTTGTTTTTTTGAATGCACCATCCCTGTTCGGACACAAAACACATGAAACTGGTTCACTCGGTGAATGAAGACATTTACGACACAGCCAAGGACCTTCAGGGACATATGGAACTCCATAGCATTCCTAAAGATAAAAACAGAAGAGTTCTGAAGGTGAATATGTTTTTAACTGAACGCATAATAATTCTCACACTTAAACACTATTACATGGTATTATGATGTTGTATTTTATCCCCGAGTCTTAAAATATTTTAGTATTGAATTTAAGGGGGTTGGGTGATGCTGAAAATCATTTTAATCATAGCAGGCTCAGTGATTATCCGCTCTAACCACATGTGCTCACACACCAATCTAATAACAGTAAGTGATTAGTGAGATATTCACGCATTCATTTATTTCATCAATTTTAGAATTTTAATCGACTGACATGTCTGAGACATGTTACATATTCCCAGCAAATTCCTACCACTGTTCAAGATGTTTGCTGGTGTAGGGTACGTTTGGAAAAAGGTAAGAGCAACTAAACCAAAAAGTAGTATCAGTTCATAAAGCCGTTGGTTTCTAATTTACCCTATATTGATAGAACGAGACTAACTGGTTAGAGCCCAGGCAATTATTAAGGTAAATGATCGGAGAAGTTGAGTAACATGACTTTGAATCAGTTGTAGTAATGTAGATGTACTCCTTCCTTCCTTAGTTCCCATTATATTCTGAGCTTATAAATCATTTCATACCTTTCATTTCTCGAATTCATCTCTTTTTCTCAGGTTATATTCTCTATACCCAATCTTTCTTGTTTTTATTGCTGATTTTACTAATTGGGTGTTCATTTTGACAATTTTAGCTCTATGTTTTGTGATGTAGTAACTTGAACAAATGTATATGGATCCTAGATTGGTTTACCACATCGTAAAACGTATTTGATATCTTAACATGTTATAATAAATATTTATACACTGCTTCCTAATGAAAGTAAAGGGAATTTTAGAGAATCATTACTCAACTAGTTACCAGGACATATAATTGAAACATCATAACGGTATCATAGTAACACTAAGACAAAACAAACAAAAAATCGTAATATCCTGGAAGTCTTCACTCCCATGCAACATAAGTGCTTCATTGCCAACGCGTAGAAACATGTGGTTTCATTTTTTATAGTACAGTTTTATGACTGTATAAACGTTGATATACGATTATGAAGTAGCAAACAAGTATGAGCCTATAATATTAGTTACTAAACTAAATATCCAAAAATTACTGGATGATAAATTAATTTCAGAGGTACATAGACACCAGTGAATTGATGAGTAAGAAAGTTTAAGCACGTTGAATGCAGTGACTTTAATTATAATCCAACGAAACCGACATAGAAAAGTAGATGAAAATTTAAGAAGAAAAACAGCCATAACCTACCTGATGTACAGCTAAGTTGCAAACATCACAAAATAATATCACATTCGTATTTTCGCACGTCCCATCCTGACAGACAGCACATACAGCATCTTCATCAATACCCGAATGGTTACCACCAATATCAGGGAGAATGTCTGTTGTTTCACAACCATTCGAGGAAAAACGGAATCTGGCCTTCTTTTCAAATCTGTCCATAATCCATTCCAGAGTAGATTCAGCAACAGGTGGTAGTGATTGACTATTACGTTTGGCATTGATTCTTCCAAGCCAAAAAAGATCCTATACAGAATAAAGGGTTAATAATACATGTAATCACTGGATGAAATAATAAAGTTTTAAAAACTAGACATTTTATTTATACGAGTCGTTTTGATCTACGAAAGAAATAGCAACTTTATATCAAAATAAAATATTTGTAAAATAACGGAAAGCTTTACGGCTTAATGTGACTTCTATAGTAACAACAATAATACTATTTTGTAGCACCTTATACCATGGAGCGATGGCATAATAGATCAACCATTCGACTTACAGTACTTACTTCAAGTTCGAAAGAAATTAAAATTTCCAAAGCAACTAAAAATTTATTTTTCGAAAACCAGGATAAACATGAGACTTTTCAAACATACACACCAATGATTTGGGGTACAAAATGAAACGATGATCATTACAAATCTTCAGTTAAATTTGTTAACAAGTAAATAACAAGCTGATCGATGTTTGTGGGCATGTTCGCCGGTTACGAGAACAGTTAAATGATGCAGTTGACTGTTATGGTGTTGAGAACGTCCATGACTGACAAAAGAATTTATAATGAGTCCCTCGTCCGATTAAGAGGTTAATATGAAGTAATATCGTTCGGTAAAAAAACTTTTATACAGAAAGTTTTTCTTTAGGTGAATTAAGTAGTTGAAAAACATGGGTAAACTGACTAATGAAAACAAGCTTTTTCATTAGTATAAAATTCATCTACAACTATTGATAAATGTTAAAATAATTACCTCCTCATCCAAATCATACTCGACAATTTCATCCAATTCATCTGACGTCTTTTCAATAAAACGAATATAACTCGAGCCCTCTTTCAAACGTACGGACTTCCGAATAGAAAATTCTGGATCGATTGAATAAACTGCTTTTGGTATATCAACAACATTATGATGAACTTCTGTACCATTTTTATAGGTAGAACCTTTCTCACATAGGTCAGACTGTTTATCTGAAACCAAGCCACTTTTATTATTTTTAATGCGACCCTTGTTTTTATGATGAAACATTTTGCTTCTACTAGACGGTTGCTTTTTGTTAGTGAGGACGTCTTCTGACTTAGATAATGTTTGGGTTGGAGAGAAGGAATCACTTTCTGTTATCTCATTTGACATATTCTGCAGGCGAATAGTAAGGGGGACGCATATGTTACACCGAAACGTGTGACCCTTGGTAGCTGGAGAAGCTTCAAAAACCACAGAAGTGTGAGCATCAGTGAAAGCCATGCGGGTTTTCTTTTGTTGCTGACAGACATTTTCGGTTGGGTGACTGACAACCATTGACATCTTTGCAATCTTATCAGAATCATTTTTTGAAGGTCCACAATTAAAGTTGCTAGAAACTTCAACATTTACAAGTGGTCCAGGAATATCTATTGGAGCAGGAGGGCGATGAAGAAGCATATGTTTTTGCATATAGTTGTATGACCTGCAAACTTTCTGACATGTTTCTGATGGACACACAAAAGGAGGTTTATTGCCCTGAATTCTGGAGAGGAAGTCATCGATATCAAAGTCAACGGGGTGGTAAACCATCTAGAAAGGAAAAAAGCGGTTACAAGAAACTGAAAAGCGTCATTTTATACTACCTTGAGGACAGAGGTTACTTACACCATGATATTTAATCGAGAAAACAGTGCACAAATGAAGATATAATAATTTCATGACATAAAACTAAGCAGTAAAAAAGTATGTCTTAAGCGATGAGAAATATTGAAGAGTTGAGCATTATTTGATAAATAAATAAACGTCAAACATTTGGATCTAAGAGTTCAGGAGTGCTGTACTATGAGATCATAAATATTAGAAGACATATTTGAATAGGTGTGATTAGTAAATCCGCCTGTAGACCCTTCGGGGCTACTACCGGTCCCAAGCCCGGATAAACGAAGAGGGTTGGGCATCGAGTTGGCGACTGCATTCCGCAAAGAACTAACTCTCCAAAAAACGCTAACAAGAAAAAACAATTCAAACCATATAAACTCTGCTCTGAGAGTTAGAAGGTTTTCATTGAGAAGAGTTACGACGTCTCATGATGAAAGCCGAGTTCCTTCGGAAGTCACGAGGCTGATAACCCTTCTGACAACCAGAAGGGTTTTCAATAATGGCTGGAGACTTTAACGCTCAAGTAGGTAGACTGAGTGAAAAGGAAAGATATCGGTGGACCTTATGGTGTCAGGGCTTATCGAACAGATAATGGCAACCGTCTGCTGCAGCTGTGCTTAAATAATCGACTATTTATAACAAACAGCAACTTTAAGCATGAGGAAAAACATCTGTTGACCTGGTGAGCACCAAAACCGACCCAACTTGACCACATCGCTATCGGCCATTGGTGGAGAAGCTCTATTGAAGACTATCGCTTATTCCGGAGCACTTGCTTGGATTCAAACCATGCACTAGTGCGAGCTCGTATTTGTTTGAGGCTAAGTGGAAGTAGAAAAGACACCGTAGGGAAACCTCTTAGGCTTCTATCTAATGATAACAAAGCTGAGAATATATTTTAGGAACAATTAGTATAACAGGCAGTCATGTAGTAAGTGATGCCCATCCTGAAACAGCTCGAAATGATATCCAGAAAGCTGTAGAAACAGCAGTGATATCGGCTAGCAATGTAAACCGCAACGTTGGGCAGAAGCGGAGCGCGAAAACTCATCCCGTCTGGCTATGAGTACGATGAGGAGCGGAGTCAGCTTAGGCGCTGACTGATTGAAAGCCTACGCAGTGATCATGAACAGTGGTGGGTAACGAAAGCGGGAGAGATGGGAAACGCAGCGGCGATAGGCAAAGTAGGCAACTATTTAGACTTACCAAGGAAACCAGTATTAAGGACCTCAATGTAAGTGAACCCGACGGTAGCTGCTACCTTGATGTGGTGGTCGGGCTTGCCTATCGTGACGACCCAACCGAGCTATACTGGCTGGAACATATGTTCCTGCAGGTCCTACCATGCCAGGCAGGTCGATTGGAGAACGATGAGACTAAAAGCAGCTACTCAAGGTCTGAGGGCGAAGTCGTACTGCTGACTGTAGAGAGGTGTGACAGCAGTAAGTCGTTTCTCTCGGACAACCAGCATCTGCAGCGATGCTGCCTTCTCACAACGAAGGAAGGGTTAGAAAAGGCCGACCCTAAAAATGTCACACCCTACCTCATGGATTTCCGTCTCCGGAGGTAAGGGTGCCCACTAAGAGCCTTCAAGGGCGGAGCTAATAATCAAAAAAACCCTTCATAAAAAGGCCGTGCGTGACCGGTCTCAAGCAGTTGTCTCTTGGACTCTGCAGTCACGCACCAACACTAATCCATCTTCCTTTCCAGGTTCCTCATGAAACACCCTTTCGCGGAGTGGGCAGCCGGGAAGTAACAACCGCCCTCATCTACGTAACAACACACGAGACCAAATTGGTCAAAATCAAATCCTTCTTACACCAACATACATCTCTCTTATCTCGACGACTAACTCTTCTCACAATCCTTTATCACACTGCACAGGTAATGCAAACAATGCGAGTTCACTAAACGTCGTTCCTGGTCTTGAAACCCCTTTCTAGACTACATGTTGCATCATTTAATGTACATACATTATGTCAAATACGGCAACAGGCTTCTTTAGCTAGGACATTGGAATCTCTCTGAATCGATGTATGCTGCGTCTCGGGAACGTGCATACAGGATCCTAGTGAAGTCATTGATCTGATTTCGCCTTGTCAAAACAAAAAAGCAGCCCGATTTACTCTTCGTGTATCTGGTAGCCCTGATGCTGCTTCCAGGGGTCTCGCTGGTGTAGGTATAGCATTGAGTCGTAGGGCAGAACTAGCGCTCCTAGACTGGATCCCTGTAGACAGTCGTTTGTACGTTGTCCGACTGTATGCGCGTTTCTGAGACACAGCATACATCGATTGAGCGAGATTCTAATGTCCTGGCTAACGAAGCCTGTTGCCCTATTTGACATAATGTACGTACATTAAATGCTCCAACATGTAGTCTAGAACGGGGTTTCAGGAGACCAGAAATGACGTTTCGTGAGGTTGCATTGTTTGAATTAGGTGTGCAGTGTGATAAAGGATTGTGAGAAGAGTTAGTCGTGGAGATAAGAGAGATGTGTGTTGGTGTAGGAAGGATTTGATTTCGACCAATTTGGTCTCGTGTGCTGTTACGGGTATGAGGGCGGTTGTCACTTCCCGTCTGCCCACTCTGTGAAAGGGTGTTTCTTGTGAAACCTGGAAAGGAAGATAGATTAGTGTTGGTCCTAGAGACCTGGTTGCCTGACCGCAGAGTCCAAGAGTCAACTGCTTGAGACCGGTCACGCACGGCCTTTTTATGAAGGGTTTTTTGATTATTAGCTCCGCTCTTGAAATCTCTTACTGGGCACCCTCACCGTCGGAGACGGAAATCCGTGATGTAGGGTGAGGTGTGACATTTTTAGGGTCGACCTTTTCTAACCCTTCCTTCCTTGTGAGAAGGCAGCATCGCTGCAGATGCTGGTTGTCCGAGAGAAACACCTTACTGCTGTCACACCTCTCTACAGTCAGCAGTACGACTTCGCCCTCAGACCTTGAATAGCTGCATTTAGTCTGATCGTTCTCCAATCGACCTGCCTGGCATGGTAGGACCTGCAGGAACATATATTCCAGCCAATATAGCTCGGTTAGGTCATCACGGTATGCAAGTCCGACCACCACGTCAAGGTAGCCGCTACGGTCGGGTGAGGTTCTGTGGCAGTGTCTGTCATTGAAAGGTGTACCAATGAAGTACATTAACCTTATACAAGCTCTTTACTCGAACACCACTGGTCGAGTGAGAGCTTATGGTGAACTGTCACCGGAATTCTCTACATCAAGTGGTGTCCGTCAGGGATGTCCACTTTCTCCATTCTTGTTTAATTTTATCATAGACATGCTCCTAGAAATAACCTTATCCTCGTCTGAATTTTTAGGAGTAGACCTTCTACCAGGAGGCTCGCTTATTGACTTAGAATATGCCGATGACATAGTCCTACTTGGTGAAGATGCTGACAAAATTCAGAGTCTTCTGACTACCCTGAGCAACAATGCAAGCATGTTCGGGATGCGGTTTTCCCCCTCGAAATGCAAAATGTTGCTTCAAGACTGGGTTGCATCGGCACCTGAACAAGGGGTAGGGAGTGAAGTAGTCGAGCGTGTATACCACTTCACTTATCTTGGGAGTCTCATCAGTACCGATGGCCTGGTGACTGACGAAATCTCAGCTCGGATACAGAAGGCTCGATTGGCTTTTGCCAACCTGCGTCACTTATGGCACAGGCGAGATATCCGTTTGCTAACCAAAGGACGTGTATGTGCAGCAGTTCGCTCCGTCCTACTGTACGAATGCGAGACTCGGCCGTTAGGAGTAGAGGACGTCCGTAGGTTACTGGTTTTCGATCATCGATGTCTCTGAAGCATTGCTCGTGTGTCATGGGACAACCGTATAAGCAAAGCTGTTGTTAGGAAATGAGTTCTAGGTAAGGATGGTAAATCAATAGACAAAGCATTGAAACTTCATCAGTTGAGGTGGTTGGGACATGTATTACGAATGCCTAACCACAGACTGCTTCGTCGAGCTATGTTTTGCGATGTAGGAGTAGGTTGGAAGAAAACTAGGGGAGGCCAAACCAAAACATGGCACTAATCCATGAAGTCACTGACAAGTGGACTGAGTCATGTTGGCAGATGTAGGCTACCTGATTGGGGTCCGCGAGACGACAGTCACCGATGGTTAGAGACCTTGAACGACATGTCTGAGAAACGTTTGTAATAGCACAGGTGCATCCACTCTTTGTGTGCTTTTTAATTCTAACCTTCTGCATCCCTTATAATCTCTACCTTTCTCCTTCTAAATTTATATTACTGAATTATACTTCTCGAATCATATCTTCGCTCCCTAATCTACTCCATTACCGCTAATACTTCTATTATTGCTATCACTCTTGGATTTGAACTGACAGTTGCGTCTCTGTGCTGATGGGGCATGGCAACCAGAACTGATGTACTTACGTACGAAGTTCTGCGTTCAATCTGTCTGTCTGTCTGTTGTTGCTGAGGTGTGATTAGTTCCACAACACGCCATTTAAGGTTCAATACAATTGATATTGCAGACCAAACAAAACCCAGTCTGTATAACTACATGACCAAGATCACTAAACAGCGCTTTTGTGGACTGTTTTAATTAACCGATTCACACCTCTTATCTCATACAACCATACTTCAACCGCTGCTAAAAGCGAAAGTAAACAGCGACTTGTAGTGTACAGCATACACGAGGCTATCGTGCTAGCACTGAGATTTTATCAGTGAGGAATAGGTCTGGGTTAACGTAACAATCAGAAAAGATGAACAGATATACATAAAAAAGGATATTGGAGATCGGAAACATTATTTAATAAGACAACACTTCGAAGCAGCAGAAGTGTAAATAAAAATGCCACCAGTAGTAGAATATTTTGGACATGGAATAAGATTAAGAGAGGAATATGGAGAAACATATTAATTCAAACTACAAATGTAGTTGGACTCTGCGCATATTTATTCCGGTTCAGAATTCAGAGGAAGGCCAACAATAAATATTTTGGCAGTGAAACCGACTTTGAGCAGCATTAACGGAGCCATCAAAATAATTCGATTGACCTTAGCCACATCTCAGAATAGGCGAGGTCATCATAACAAGCTATTAAACCCCATGTTCCTAAACAAGGTGCTAGTGAAGATTAGTTAAGGCACAAACACCATCATACTCAAGGATGGACCTGAAGACGAAATACTAACCTGCATTTAAGATCCCGAAAAATGGTAATTCAGGTGATATCTTGTAAAGAACTATGCTATGGAACACCTCCAAAAAAGCAGGATCTGTTATCAATAAAAGTAAAAAACTCTTGTCGCTGATTTTAATCAGAAAAGACATTAATTTAACTAAAAGTTTACGAAAAATGTAATCTACATACAAAGCCGTCTTAAAATTTTAAGACACCGAAAGTTATTTAAATTGTCTCAGAAACAGTAAGTTTCTATGGATTACAACAACATTTGACTAACAAACAGCTCATTCTTGACTCTTAAGCATCAATAATATATCTCTGATTAATAAACAGACCCGATCACTGTTTTAAAATTTCGTACTTAAATCAAGTTATTGGGTCAAACTTATTTGAACCAGTAGTGTCCGATAGACGATTAGGGTTTAACTTAAAAATAGCTTTGGCTTTGCATATCCGAATTTACGCATGAATAAGAAAAACTGTAAGGACTGACCCTTTATATTCCATGAAACCATATGTTCAATAAGCACCGCATAAATTTATAAATGTCGCCACAATATCACTTGTTTATTCAACAGAAATAAACGAGATTATTAAGGTGAAATATCAAGTTGTCCAGCTTAACTACTTTTAACGAGACACGTTACTGTTGTAGTTCTTTGCATTTCTTATATCTTCACTGAGCTCCCACAGTTCTCTTGAACTACATATACATTTATGTTTGAAGTGTCGGTTATGGTGTCTCCAATGCTGATTCATTTCCTTTTGATGAATTGACTGAATTTGCGGACTTTTCGTGAATTTAGACACACTTCCAGAACCTAAAACACTTGCAGCCAGCAAGTCCGAAATTTCTTTTTCAACAACTTTTTCGCGAGCTAATATAAACCGATTGATTTATTTGCTCTCGATTCTTGTTCTTTCGGTACAGTTCCAGGTGTTTGGTAGAGTCCAATGGATGATAGTCTAGCTACTTGGCTGCACTAATTCTAGTCATTTGGCAGTTGTTTGTGAGTTTTTATGTCCAGTGATTTGGATGAAAACGTTCGTTTAATGGCAGGAGTTATCACAATATCAGACTGTAGATCAGTTAGCTGAGCCAAGATACGAGTGGGTCGGTGAAGCCCATTTCCGCAATCTTTGCGATTACGCGTGCGTGAGGTACCGTGTCGAAAGGCTTCTGCGAAATCTAGAAATATTACATTCAGTCCAAGCAGGATATCCGACTGTCCCATGCTACTAGAAGATTAGATGCGCACGACCTGCCCTTCCTAAACTAGTGTTGAGCTTCATGAAGTATTCTATTCTTATCCATGTAATAATTCATCGGTTTATCAGCCCTTCCATTATCTTTGATAGATTTGGCAGTAATGCAACTGGTCTATAACAAGCTGGGTCTTGCCTATCTCCTCCTTTGAAGATTGACGAGAGAGTTGTTGTTGATACTTTTATGGAGTTAAATGCTACTTTTTGAACAAGCTGTAAATCATCGATCCAGAAAGAATGGAATAATATTTCAGTGAAGATAAAAACGTTTGTTTTCTCCCTTTATCAACATATCTCCTTAATGTACTTTGGAGTTGATTTTTGGGTGTTCTGAACACTTTGGTTGAATGACTTGACTTCAATATTTGATTATATACGAATTTAAATTTGAATTTACAACATAATGTATGGCCGTTCATCATTCCACCACTTCGTTTTGGATTTCAGCGAACAAGAGTACAAGTGTCTGGGCTAACCTACACAGGTATTCTCCATTCCAAACTACTTTAGTCCTGAGTCCACATAAAAGTATTCATGAAGGATAAGGTTACTAATTAAAAGCATTTTTACTTTCTATGGTTGTAAAGATCCTTAATACTAACGGATTAATCATTAAATCCTAACTTTTTGGCCTACTAGAGAAGCTCATCAATATCATCCTGCAGATATTATCTACCTCAAACTCGCCAAGAGATTTAACTTAGTCAGCAATACAAATGTTCATTGGAAACTGAAACCAGTAGATATCGGAGCGAACTTTACTACTAATAATAATAATAACAATAATTTATTCTCAAATAACGAACATGTCACAAGAGGCATGCCAATTTACAGGCAAGATCAAAATGTTAAGATTGGCAACATATTTCTTTCAAAATGGTGTACAGTTACTGAAATATTTCATAAAATATTGGCTCCATTTAGATGGCTAAAAGTTTTGCAGATCCTACAATGTACAATGCGAATAATTGGTGCAAGTTACGACGCTTGCCTTACGACGAGCTTCTTAATGACCGTGAAACAATGCAAGGTAGAGCCAGGTATGCATATAACAAGAGTTGATGAAGTAAATGTGGCAAGAACTGGTTGATAAATTTACAGACCCTTGGGTAAAGTAACAAAGTCATCGGCAAATATCCAGACTAAAAAATAAGTATTGGAATAAGGCGCTGAACAAAGAGAAATAAAGAGAACTGTGCGAGGAGCAGAATAGAAAATATTCTTGTTCAAAGACGAACAGTGACTCAGCACATACGTTTCTGGATAAAACAAAAGTATATTCACTTAGACGTTTTTTATTAGAACACTAACTGTATACTGCATTTATGTAGGTTAATGAAGACAGTTCATTTGTAAGATAACCAATGGACATTTAATCGTATTAATAAAGGAAACTGAGCATAACCAAATTGTTAGCAACAATATTAATATACAGAATAATATAATGAGGCTCAGTGATCTTATGCCTTTGTTTTATTTTATTTATTCTTTTTATTTTTAACCCTCTGGCTCAAGAGGATATGAATGAGCTCTTTTTCTGTATGACTGTCCAGATCTGCTTGTAGTTAGGAAGTTAAAACCAGTGCAATGTCATGAACATGAGTCTTAGACGAGGTTAACAAGGAAGAGTAACATCAATATCACTGATTAGCTACATCCTGCTATATCGTAAGGAGCCGTAAGCAAACAAAATGTTCTACCATACAGACATGGGTAGATTGATGTTATCCCCAACCGTCATGAATGCTGGTCAGATATTAGTTGACTACAGGACTATATCACAGAAAACAAACTAGCTGTTTGAGGAAACTGTATTTTGAGTTTTATTTATATTATTTAGCGAGTAATTTATGGTGGGTGAATGTGGTGTTTGAATGAACTAGTGACTTGTTGGTTGTTTTTGAATGTTTGATTTCGAATTCTAAATACAGTACATTCGTTCGTGCTCATCAAGTTTTTCTTAATCCACTTACGTTGTTTCTTGGATTATTAGTTAATTCAATAATTCACATACTTCTAATTATCATATTGGCGTCGCGATGGAGCTTGTGATGGAGCAGTTAGATATACATTCAACCTCTGAAGCTTTTGAGGATCATTTGGAAAGGTTTGAAATCTGGAGCATGACCAAGAAAGATGTTAAAGATGATAAAATTGTGGCACATTTCCTGACATTCATCGGAAGAGAAGCGTACAGCTTATTAAAAACTTTGGCATATCCGGAAAAACCTATCTCACTTCCTTATGCAACGCTTAAGGAGTTATTATTAAATCACGTAAAGTGCATTAGTTTTGAATGCCATGAAAGGGCGAAATTTCATAAGATGACTCGTCAGCATGACCAAAATGTTAAGGAATTCATTCTTGAATTGCAGAAACAAGCTGTCAAATGTAATTTCGGTGATCAACTTCATGTGCAACTGAGAGACCGATTAATTACAGGAATTAACATACCTAGTTTGGAAAGAGAGATGTTAAGAATGTCGAAATGTTCCTTTCAAGATGTTAGAACTGCGTGCATTAACTACGAGGCGTTGAATGAACTTGATATTCAGTTGATGAAGATTTCCAATACTTTGATTAGTTGTCATGATGAAAAACAATCTCAGGGTCAATCAAAATTGTGTTCGTTTAACAGTGGTTCCTATTCTCGCGTAAAGATGAACGGTGTTTCAATAAAGAATTACAAAGGAAATCACAAAGGTGAGGCCAAGTTTGGCAAATGTTCATCGTGTGGAAAACTTCATTCTCGTAATTCGTGTGCATTTCGTAATGCTAAATGTTTTAGATGTAGTAAGATAGGACACATTCAAGCAGTATGCAAAGCTACTGTTCATTTTGCCTCAAGTAGTACTAAATCTTGTAATTTAGATCCCAATAATTCAGCTGATCCTAATGATCATTTATCTTTGTCTACCATTTCGAAAGGTAATGCTCATAATCAAAAGCGATTATATACATCGCTTGGTTCATGTCATGACTTTATTGTAGACACAGGCAGTATAGAGTCCATTATTTCATTCAAGAACTTGAAATCGTTAGATCCTAAAGTTGTGGTACGACCCACTGAAGTATCAATATTGGGGATTACTGGACACAGAGTGCCTATACGAGGATGTTGTGAATTGCTAATAAGAGATGATAAATCCTCATACATACCTTGTGAATTTTTAGTTGGCGAAACAGGACTGTCAATACTGAGTTTAAGGAATTGGAAAAGGCTTAAAGTGGAGTTGTCTTTCCTAGTTTCTAAGGAAAATTCTGATGCTTTACTTAAAGATTTGATAGCCACGTGTGCTAGGTGTAGTGGAGTTATGAAAATCCAGCCTATAAAACTTCAAGTACAGGGTGATCCAGTCTTTCTCAAAAGACGAATAATTCCTTATAGTCTTTGAGATGCAGTGCATAAGACATTGAATGATTTGTGTGCAAAAGCCATAATTGAACCGGTTCAGTCTTCTGCATGGGGTACTCTTATTGTTACGCCACTGAAACGGATGGCAAGACTCCTAGTATATGTGGTGACTATAGACTAACATTAAACTCTCGTTTGTTGAAGCAAACATGCATGACGGTAGAGGCTGAAGATATTCTAAATAGACTTCATGGTTCGAAAGTGTTCTCGAAAGTTGACCTAAAAGATGCTTATCTTCAAATCCCTTTAGATCAATCCTCATCTTTTACTTAATATTCTCTGATCAACGATCTATCTCCCCCATCTCTAAACTAACTATTAACTAACCTGCATCTCAATATTTTAATCATTATTTAACTTAATGTCAGTGTAATAAATTACATGGATATATAGTCCACTTTGCAGGAGCTAAGGTTCTCTGGTTTGCTTGTAACATGGTACTAGTAGAGACAGTGTATTGCGAAAAAGTGTGCACAAAATAGGGCTTGAACTAAAACTTAATTAAAATTTCATGCAGCACATTGCTATTTGAGAATATATACTATAAGTTTATCGTTAAATGACGAGTACTAATCACTCTGCTGACCAGTGAAACTAAGAACTATCTAGACTGATATTATCATCATTCTTCTCCATTCCCGCCTCTGAAACTGATTCTGAAAGTTGTTCATTACTTCGCGAGTTCGGTCACTGGTACCTGAATTTGTTATCCAGTTCAGATATTGAGAATATTCCTATTCACCTAACTAGCTCGATGAAAATGAACAATAGCTATAGTAAGCTGTTATGTTTCATCGATAAAAAATCGCAATACATGATTCCCTCAATGTATAATAACTAGAAA